TTTTTCAGAAAACATTAATTGTGTGATAGGATATTTTTAAAATGTAAATAGGTTTTTTATGTACTAATATATAGTTGTTGATATCTTCCTTTTTTCTTTACTCTGAATTTATTGATATATTTGAAACAGACTTAGTTTTTCTAGACTTATGATGTGCACACTCCTTCTTGCTTGCACTTCCTGATTCCCATCATCTTCACAATGTGAAGCTATTATAAATATCTTATATCTTGACTGCAAAAGCCAACTTTCTTATATCATGGAAGTCTGTAAATGCAGTGATTTGATTGGTTTGTACACTGTCATACAGCCAAAGAGAGCTCTCAACAGAAAATCTATTAACCATAAGCTATAATTGTTACAATCTTTTTGTCGAGGGCTCTTGATTAGTTGTATTCACTTGCATACAATCCAATCAAATTGCTGCATTCCTTGATACAAGCCTATACCCTGACATTGTGAAGATGGATTTCCATATGACATCTTGAGTTTTCTGCTTGTAACCTTGTATCAATAATGTGTAAATTTCATTCTTTCTCTTTCATTTTCAGCATACCATGTCAAAAAGTCTTGTAGAAAAAACACACTTTCTACACTTTCCTCTATTTTTCTTTTCATATCTGTATCTATGTACATACATGTATCATATCATCACAATAAATTGTAATACTTATATTACAAACAAATATCTAGAGGCTTTAATGTACTTAAAGTATTGTAAAGAATTTTCGATTAAATGTCTGTGGTTTCTGCAATTCCACTAAGTGTTTGATGGAATCACTAATTGTGAAGGGCGTCATGATGTGATACAAGCATATTTTGCAATTAGTGAACCCTTATCACAAAAATTGTACAATAATTTTCAGTGGAATCTGACCATTTGCATCTTGTGCTATCCTTTACAGAGATTTTTCAGTTTTTTGGAAGCATGTCTATATTGATTGTGAGCATGGTAATATCCCTCCTGAAATGTATTTTAATAATTAGTTGAATGTTATTTGTTGTATGTATATAGATCTAATGTAAAATACTTTCAAAAATATTAAAATATATTCAAAATACATAGAATTATTGCACATTATGTTCGTAAGGCCTAATACCAAAGGGATTTCTATCTAACTCTTACAAACAGTTCCTGAAAATACTGTGAAATTCTCTATGAGGCTGCACTTTAAAATGAATCAATCCATAAGACAAGAAAGACAATAAATGCAATAGAATAACAACCTAAAATTGATTAAGATGATGAATTTTGAAATATTTATATCATAATTGTAATAAAGAGTTGAAAATAAATCTGAAAACTTACAAATCAGACTTTTTAAAAAATCTTCAACCAAAAGAAGTTTATAAAACAAGAATTACTCAATCTAATGACATTAATGGAAAAAACAAAATTGACTTAGACATAAGCTTAGTAACAAAAGTTCCTAATGTTAAACATTAATAGACAGACAGATATATTCGCAAATCTGTTTTTATGAATGCAAATGAACATCTAGTCAACTTGCAAACATATGGCTTTAAACTGCAGAAAGAAACCTGCACTGTTATTTAATTGTAGTCTTAAAAATTCATTATTAACTAGAGTTGTTTCCCTTTGACCATTAAACTTAACGTTGTTCAATGGCCAATAGACTGTAAAATAAAGCTTTATTTACTTTAAACTTACTGTGCCATCCTTCTTGAACAATACAGACGTGGAGTATTGATTGTAATACACAAAATGGCGACTCAGGACTTTGTTTATTATGGAGGAATAGAGGGGTAAATATATTGTACATTTTCTAGTATGTATTTTGGTACTTTACTCCGATAACGTAGTGTACTGGAATAGAAGTAATAGGCTATGGTATACATAAGACCTGATATATGACTTTATATCTGCCCAGGCTATCAGTGAACTATGGAGTAGTTAATATTGGTGTATAAGGCTAATATAAAGAAGAATGGTGGATTTTTTGGCTCACCTAATGCTTTAACAAGGCAAGGGCCTGATAGGTCTGATAGGTCATAGAACTGTACCGGTATTAGTATACAGTACAGTACTATGGATAGGTCAACTAAGAGGATAGAGGATAAATTAAGGAAAAGGAAAAGTTTAATGCCTTAAATGGAATATGTGACACCTCAAAACTAGAGCAAACTCAAGCTTAAGTGATATAGCCAGAAACATGTGAATTAGGAGTCATTTTCACATTTAGATTGCTGTAGATTACCCTTAAGTTAATATCTCTGTATTCTGTATATATTTTTTACAGAGGAGCCACCCATTCGAAAATGGTGATTTTAAGATCTGATGGTAAAATTATGTCTTGGAGTGAAGAAGCCTGCACAAACCAATGGGTACAGTATGAGTATTGATTTCTTCAATGATTTACATTTATGATTAAAACAACTAAAAGCTGTTTATTTTTTTGTTATTTTTCACTGGAAAGGACTTGCTTAATTGTTTTTGTGTTCTGTAGTTGATAGGTTTAGAAGAATGTAATAAAAGAATCAATAATATGGTAGAGGACTCAAAACAGAAAGCTGGTCTTGATAAAACCATCCCTTTAAAAGCTCTGGTGAGTCTTTTTCACAAGAAATCTGACAGGAAAAATAAATAAATGAAAAGGAAACCATAACCTTATTTGAAACTATATTGTTTTAGATAAAATGGCCCCAAACAATCAATATACAAAATATCATGGCACTTAATGAATTTGCATTCTATGACTATGTGGTCATGTCAGGCAAAATTCATGTGACAAATCGGCATAAATCACTTTGTGCGACTTTCGAAGAACTTGAAAACCTTACAATTTTTACAGTTTTCAACAGACAAAACTCTGTTTATTTTATTGTACAGGGAATGTCATTAAGTGGTATTGATGAAGAAGAATCCAGAGTGAATCTAGAAAAACACCTGAAGAAAACCTACCCTCAAGCTACAGAGAATATCTTTCTTGCTAATGATGCTGTTGGTTCTCTAGCTACAGCAATTGATGGCGGTAAGTTACAGGAACCTGATGACTTTAGGTTTGATTGAGTTGATACTGCTTTAAATGGATACAAAGGTCAATGCCACAAGAAGTCGATAAGAATAATCTGGGATGAACTGTATATTCGATATTTCTTTTATGGACAGTCAGTCACAGTTTAAGCTATTGCATAAGCTATAAGATTATTATTTTTAAATGGGGAGTATGTTATGATTATTAGTCAGACTTCTTAGGTTCTTGAGAAATGGAAGATGCAAATAAGATGGTCTCAATACCCATAAAAAAGCTAGAAAACACATTTAATTCCATGTATTTTTATACTTCCAGGTGGAGTTGTGTTGATAGCTGGTACTGGTTCGGTTGGTCAGCTAATTAACCCTGACCTGTCAGAACATAGATGTGGGGGGTGGGGACACGCTATAGGGGATGAGGCTTCAGGTATTATCTAAACTTTTAAGTTTTTATTTCCTTTATTCCATCTTTTGTTGGAAGATTGGAACCGTTGTGACTCAGAAAGTATGTCTTGAGGTCCACAGTTGAATCTCTGCATGGGTGATATCTTTGTTTAGTGGAAGGGCTGACATGTTAAACAAATAGATACATTGTATCTGATCTTTTTATCTAAAAAGCACTTGTTATTACTATGTGTAATTTGTAATATTCAGGATATTGGATAGCCCAGAAAGCAATAAAGATATATTTTGATCATGTTGATAATTTATTCTCTACACAATATGATGTTAGTGTTGTAGAAAAGGCCATGTTTAAATACTTTAAGGTAATGTTATGATGTTTTGTAGTAAATCTTTTAATACTTAAACCTTAGCATTGTTCAGCCTGCCTGCTTCATTGTACATGAAGAGTACTTGAATACTGGTAGGGGCATACTGGGGTGTCTGACCACAGGACTTGGATGTGGGCCTGGGGCCTGAAGACTTCAATTATCTTGGAAACCCAGTCCCTCCCTGGATGCAGAACCAGTCATTTGAATCCTGGTTGTTTCATTTACTTTTTTGGATGAAGTAGATGGTGTATCCAGTCTTTTTGGTAAAGATGTGCATCGTGAGATGTTTGCTAACATGCTAATAGCAATACCCGTAACCAATTTTGGAGAGTCCCCTTGACAAAATCATGACTTTTTACTTTTTAAAAATAACTAACCTATGAAATATATTTCTCCTTCACAGGTAACTGATCAAGGTGGAATGTTACAACATTTTTATAGTAATTTTAATAAAGCTCATATAGCAGGTTTCTGTAAGGAAATATCATCAGGTAAGAAAAGAGTATTTTAATATTTAAACATACACTTTGTCACAATTTAAAAATAAAAACATAGTTTACAATAAGATATTCATGGTACTAATATAGATATTAATTTGTAAATATTCCTGATATCATTTTAGAAACTAAAGACCCATTAGTGTGTCATGTATTCAAAGAGGCTGGTAAACTCTTAGCTCAACATGTTATAGCTCTCGTACCAAAAATGGACAAGGTGGGTTAATAACAACTATTTCTTCTACATTCTTTGAGTTTCAATGTCTTAGGTAATGTGGTTGTCACAATCTACAGTTTACTTTTTTTTTTTCATTAATCTTTGTGTAAAGATGTGGATAAATACTGTCAATTATGTCTGGTATATCATCTTTCAACAAACCAGAAACATGTGTAACTGCATGATGTTGTCGTAGATGGATATATGCAGATACATGTACAGCTAGTTTCACTGTATAACCTAATGTCTGTTAACCTGAAGATAAGTTTTCCAATATTTAAATATTTACAGAGTTTAATCAATGAAGAAGGAGGTATAAGAATAGTTTGTGTTGGTTCTGTGTTCAAAAGTTGGCCATTACTTGAACTTGGTAGGTATTGTACTGTTAATCCTTCTGTAGTGAAGTTTAAGTCGATTACCTGCAATAGTGGTTTGCCCTCCCAAATTCCAGAGTCTAAATGTTTGAATGACCATCCAGAAATATGACTGGGCTGGCACCCCCAGTTTAATTGGAGCTCACCATTCTGTGGACCTACTTAGGCATCTAATCTAATGGTTCAGATTCAACACCATCTACAATTACTAGATTTATCGCAAAGTCAAAGTGAAATATATTTCAATCCATTACAGGTTTTGTAGAAAACTTAAAACAGAATGGTAAACTAATCGGAATAAAAGAAGTCATGTTATTACGACTGAAAGCGTCTGCAGCCATTGGTGCCGCTGTACTTGGTGCCAAATCACTTAAAAGCAAAATACCTCTTGACTATTCTGCTAATTATGATGTTTTATTCCATTCTTCCATTTGATATACAAGATAAATGCATTACTTTGAAAGCTCAGACACAAAAGGCAGATAAGTAACTTCAGTGGGGAAATTAATTTTGTGCTGTTGGTAAAATGATATGAATATTAAATGATGAAAATTAGGGCTTACTATATTCAAATGAATACTTTCCATTCCATTGGGCAAAGTAAATGTGTCCTATACACAAGTTTATTCACAGGGTTTAAAATATTGGTATGCATTCCAGCATGGTAATGTGAATGTGTTAAACATACAGCTACATTTGTTTAATCGAACAGGCCTGTAATTATTTGAATTTGCATTATATGTTTTTATATGGTGTATGGTCAAGATATACGAGAATGCATTTGACAGTTCAAAATAAGTCTTGGTTAGCATATAAGATATTTCTAAGGTTGTAAAATTCTTCACCAGGGGTGCTAATCATGAAAACTTCACTAAGATAAAAATCCAATTTTTCAGAAATACACCAATCAGATGATTGTAACAATTAAATTTGTAAGTTGCGTTTTCAAGAATAAGGCTCCAAGGGATTTGGAGTTACTTCCCTCGTCTTTACTAACATTTCAAGTTCCCTCCTCTTATTATGTCAAAATCCAGATTCTGTTGGTGTATGTTACTTTGCTGGGCAAAAAGCTGACTACAAAATTAAATCTTTTAAATATGAGAATTTTTGCAGAAACAGAATTTCCATATAAGGTTTCATAACTATATTTTAAATAAAGTTTACCAAATGACTACAATACATTTTTTTTTTAAATAGGTCTCACATCATCTTTATATGTTAATGTATATTATTTTTAATTGTTTATATTTTAATATCTAATATTAAATAAATGAGATTTCTATTTTTAATTTTTTTGTTAATTTTTGTCCTTGTTCAGGAGGTATATTTCATAATCAGGTATATTCGTTACAATCAAATAGATATTTGAGATCTTTGTGCTCTTAAGAGGACTAAACAGTAATACGAGCAGTCGGTTATATTTTTTAACACAGACTAATCTACTACCAAATTTGGTTCGAATTGTGTCCAGATATGCACAAAGATTTTTGTCTAAAGATCTATCATAGATAAACTATTGTGTGTATGATTTTCAGCGCTAGAAAATGCATCAATATAGTTTCCATTACTGGAGCCCATTCCACAAAAAATCTAATAATAAAAATTTAAGGAATTTTGCATCAAGAAGTGCCATACTTACGACAAAATTGATTGCACGATTTTTTAGTGGAACGGGGCCCTGTATAACTTGGGAATGAAAAAATAATAAAATGCCGTACAAATAACTAAAACAATACCTGCAATTATAAAGTTATTTTCTTTTATTGTAAAATATAGCACTGATACCAACATTGAATAGTATTATGCAAAATAGATGAAACATTTTAGGTGGAAAGCACTTGAGTTTAAATAAACTTTAAACAATAACAAAGATTAGAATATGGTATCTTGAGCTGTCCTGATGAGGATTATGTTTCAGAAACCCATGTTGGCAGCATGATTTGAGTTCTGGTGATGCAGATAATCTCGGCAGATTTATAAACTTTACTGAAATTTGCCATGGAATTAAGAATCAATTCATGGCCATCTTTTAGCCATTTTATAAGTTTAGAATATCATAATTTGTTACAAAATTATATATTATATTATCACAAAATTTAAATTAAGAGAGCAAATAACGCCAAAATATCAAGAATACATAAATAAATGATCTTCAGAAATTCAATATTTTGGCTAGAATTTCATTCCAAAAATCTTACTCGACGCAAGTTTCAATATGATCCAACAACTTTTGTCCCTCCGCAAAATCTTTACTACATTTTGGACAACATAGGACTTCATTAGCTCTTTCAGTACTTTGCTTTCTGCCTGGAACTGACTTTGATTTCAAAAATGACCTCTTATCTGGAACAGGAACTGGCAAAGATTGGTAGACATCTTTACTCGAAGGATCGAGTATTTCATAATCTTTGAGGTTTAGCGAACCTGGTCCATCTATTACTAATTCTTCTCTTTCACGATGCCCTCTTGATGCCAGTTGAGCCTGAAATAAAAAAAATCATAGAATCACATGATGTAGATCAACATATTCATACCAAATTCTGTATTCGAAATAACAATACAATGACAGACAACTTCCTATTTAGTATGGTTTCGAACTGAATTTTGGTTGTTATTTCAAATTATCAGACTATTAAAATTATCTTATTTGCGAATAGTAAGATATTCTAATAATGATTTCAACAGACAATGCAATAGTAACAAAATAACAGTCAAAATACCCTTAAGAAAAGTAACATTTTGTACTAAGTATATGTGATGTCATGTACAAGTTAAAAAAGACCACTTCTATATCAGTTAAACACTACATCCTTACCTCTACATTAGATTGTACAGCAGGAATGAAAGCTGTTGGTTGGTATAAATCTCGGGGTTGATTTATTTTAGTCTGGTACATCACTCTATACCTATCAGCCTAAAATTTATAACAATATTTACATTAGCTATTATTTTATCCATTGGTCTAATACAAATTCGTGTGGCATTTATATCACTATAAACGCCATTGCCTCATCACCAAAACATTAGGCGTAGTAATTTTAACCAATGACGTTGTTATTCATTGACGTCATTATATCAAATAAATGGTCTACAATCATGTCGGTAGTCCCAAATGTTGAAACGTAAAGAAATAGGCCCTACTTAAATTCATACTAAAGTCTTTGTATCAAAATTAGAATGTCTTGAAAACGTATATATAAGCAATAAACTGTTACCCTATGGCGGTTATGGTCGTATATCAGGACAAAGCTTGGCTGGAAAATTAATCCAATTAATTAATTGAATTTTCCAGCCAATCTTTGTCCTGATATACGACAATAACCACCATAGGGTAACAGTTTATTGCTTAAATACATGTATAAGTTGATGGTTTTTACATAATTTGATATTCCTATCAGATATTTTCAGTGAAAAATTGTCTGTTTAACGACCTTACAATAGATAAAACCTTGGCCTGAAGCGAAACAAATCCATGAAAAAAACTTGCAGTACACTCTCAATCCCATCATATAAAAACAGAAAAGCATTAACTTTGTCCATAAACTATTGTAACAATATAAACCTTGCTAAGTGGACAAGAATTTGAGTCAAATGAGTCAATTGTGCGGACATGCTGACAAAGAAAAGATGAAAAAAAACTAGGCTTACTTCCTTCTTGCTCTTCTCCAGTTGAGCTCGAACATCTGTCAATTCTGATTGAGCACGAGCTCGATCTTTCCTCTCCTTTTCAAAATCTTCAGCACAAATTTGAATCTGAGCCATCAGAACTGTGATAGTTTCTGCGCTATCTTCACCAATATTGGGTCCAGAAGACAAGTTCCTCACACGTTCCTGAAGTTCTTGGATTCTGGCCTGTTTTTCTTCCACTGAATGATTCAATTCTTGGTATAATGATTTAAACTGTGAAGCCTCTTGTTCAGCCTAAAATGAGGGATTTAAATCCATGTACATACAATAGTTCTTGGCTGTGCATTGTGGACTCTCTGAACAATTTTGGCAGAAGATGCAAGAAGAATGTGTCCTATGACAATTAGTTATAATAATAATATATACATATAGTATAGACCTTATTCATGCATCAGCCATATTGAATCCAGAACGAGGCTCATAACCCAAACGATGAAAAGGTAACGTGGTGTCACTGCATAAAATCACCACCTTGACGTCTTTAAGGCCTACTTCTCCAATCCCACTAACTCGAAACTAATAATATTTTACATCATTCAATATGGAATTGATTAAGCTATTTCAAGATACTTTCAGATGAATTTTACTTTCATACATTTCCAAGAAAGGGCAGTTTTAAGCACATTTTCTTGCTGTTGAGCGAGTGTTTAATGACATCAAATTGGCTATTCATATCAATGGATCACTTAATTTGTGGCATTTCCACTATGCAATAAGTATCCTTTTTGGAGGTAAAATCACTTAATCCTAAAACTTTCTATCGCAGCAAATAGATCCCTACCATGGTCCTATTTTACAATAAACCAATACCCAACATTCATAACTTATTACAGTGTATAATCAAAAAAACCAAAAAATACATACTATTGCTTTCTCTTGTTGTATTTGTTGACATTGGTCATAAGCTTCATTTAATGTACTTTCAATCCCAGACGGAAACTTAGTACGTAGACTGTTAATTTCTGCTGTTCTCTCTTGAAGAATAGATTGATGGTTCAATATCTCGGTTTTCTGTTCCTGTATGGTTCTAACTAGTTGTTTTGTATACTCCTGCCATCTTACATTCATTGAAGTTATCTACAAAGGCAAATGATTTGGGTATCAAAATAAGAAACTTCAAATGAGGAACTATAAAGAAAAGTTGTATCAGGTGCCTAGGGCTGGGCGATGTACCGGTATCACTATAAATACCGATATAGGAATTTAAATTGTTAATTAAAAAATCAAAAATACCGATATATCGCCATATCGTGATATAACCTGATGGTAGTTATCATAATATAGAATTTTTGTCCAGATAAGATCATCTATCAACATAATTTTAACAAGTAACTTGATGTATGAAATAGATTTTTTTTTTCATGATATTCAAGACTGGGGTATTTTTAGAGATATTTATTGTTTTATGTTACATTTCTAGTTCATAATTTTCTTTCAAGAACCAGTAAAAAAAAAAATTAAAAAATATCGCGATTTATACCCATATGCTTAATATCCTGATATCAACTTGAACCAATATCGCCCAGCCCTACAGGTGCCTAAAGTAAATATACCCTACCCTGCCTGGCGCCACACCTGCCATTGCTGCTTAATATTACACACAAAATTAAACAACATTACCTCTGTTACTTTACTCTCTAATTGTAAATTATTTTTCTTCAATATTTCTAATTCTTCACTAGTGACGTGCTGTAAAAAATATGGAAACAAATGAGTTTTACACCATCATCTTCCTGGACTATTGGTGAAATAAAATCAAAGGGTGTTTTACATTCTTATGTTCTACACTATAGCCTAGTAATGAAGGTATGAAAGGTCATGGAGGCAATTGCAGAAGTATCTTTAATCAGCCTCAGTTTTTCATCACATATATATGTATACCACGGAGAAACTGAATTGATTTTATATGAAACAGTACTTGATTGCTAAGGCCCTGGACAAAAAGTTTGATGTCACTCAATAAGGGATTCAATTCATCAAAAGTTTTCATTGAGCAAAAACAAACATCAATCCGCCCCCCCATAACCATTAGCTACAGGCCTGTAGCTTATGTTACCCTAAACACATTTGACCTGTGAAAAATTAAAATACAAACCTGAAAAGATGACCTGTCATTAGAAATAGATGATGAAGATGATGATCGCCTCACATTGCTTTCTTCTTTTACTTTATTCAACTTTGAATCTAAATCTTGACATTGACTCGCAAAACTTCTCAAAATTGTTTGAAAATTTTCTAATTCTTGGTGATTTTCTATTGCAATTTGGTCTCCATAACTCTGGTTCTCATAGCCATATTTGTTATTGGAGTCTTGTGCATTTCTTAACTGGTTCTGTAGATGATCGTTCTCCACAGTTAAATTGGTGATCCGTTTATTTAAGTCATCGATAGTCTGAAAATATATTTGATATTTGAATGTAAACTAATAATAAGTTAACCTTTGCCAGAAAGATTGTAATTTACGATTAGTATTTCTGGTTAATTTCTAAATATTTTAGTATAAATATGAATAAAAGTTCAATAATATCACTGCATTAACATAAACCAAATTGTGTTCTTAATACTGAACATTTGTTCAAGTTATGAGTTTCTGAAAAATTACACGGCAACTAACTTGTTACAGTGGCAGTAAGTTAATGTCCTAAAGAGCCATAATGTTTGATCAACAGCCAAATAATACTTTGATTTAATAAGATGTCTTATAATGAAGATTAGCCTAGGAGCCCAAAATTTTAGGGGTACTGACAATATCTGCTCTGCAAAAGCCTCATTACACCTTTGTCTATCGAAGTGAATCCGATTTCTATGGTCTACCATCCGATTTCGATCTATTAAATGATGAAATGAAACCTACATCTTGAAATTTGTTCAAATCTTTGACCTCTACACCATTACCACATTGATGTAGGAGATTCTTCAAGCGGACATTTTCTCTGGACAAATTCTCTAAAGTTTGTGGACAGAGACTGGCTACGTAAACATCATTTTCTTGGAGAGTGACATCATCTGGCAAAGAGTTAATGGTTAATCGGCTCTGTAGATTCTTAACCGCAGCTTCAAGCGCTCGCTTCTGTTTCTGTGTGGTCTGCAGCTCATCACGTGTCTCCTGTAGTAACTTAGTAACAGTTTCTACACCTTTAATCTTAATTCGTTCAGAATCTAATTGTTGATTACTCTGTTTAATCACCAATTTCAAATTCTCTATTTTTTCCTTCAACATGCTGTTTTCTATCGACTCTTCACTTGAGGGTGTTCTGGTAAATTGTTTTTGAGCTAGTGTTTCCATTGTACCTTTTATTCTAATTTCATTCATCTAAAATGTACAAATATTAAAGTGTAATGAAGGCCTTACATACATCATAATAAAAAGTATCAGATACGGTATATTGTTACATTTATTTGTAAAGCAACTATTCACCATTCACCTATCAACATTTCCATCAAATAACTTAAAGCTAACCCTCTTTGATTAAGCCTTTTTGTCTAGCTAATATTATTGATAATTGATTGATACTAAGTTGAAACTGTCAATAGGTCTAATATAATTATTATTATTATTGTATCCTGGACCTCCCTTGAAGTCGTAGCCGGACTATGATTTGATCACTTCCGACCATGCAATCATTATGTATTGAAATTCAGGAAGAACGTTTTTGTAAAAAAATCTTGCATATTAGGTATCAAAACCTTTTTTGAGTATTGAGTATCAATTACGTTGAAAGGAACAATTCGCAAATAGAAAAATCATGTCTATTTTTTACCTAAATTACTAATATTACAATTTTACAAATGATTATAAGTCATCATGTTTACCTTTTCTGGAAATTCCCCTTAAACGTCAAACAAAATCTTGATTATCCAGACCGTCAAATAAAGAGAGTCACTGGGCTGCGTTCGTTTCGTCAAAGAATAAAGATTATGTCCTGAACATAATCCGGTTACTCTGATCATATCTCGCATAATAAATAACACAACTTCGTTAATAATGTAGTGCATTGTCAGTACACAGACTGTGAATTGACTGCAGTTAAGTATTACCTATCGGCAATGCCTGGTGATTGTAGTTTAGGTGAAGGTCATTGGACACAGACCTTGACCAGCACAACAGTCACTGTTGAAGGAAGAGAGGGAGGGGTCAGGTCAAATTTTCAAAAGAATTGCCTATACTTTTCTTTGCTCTGAAGGCTACTGTGTAAAGCTGACACACTGGACTTTAACATTTTTTCCCAAAAAAGTACAGTTAATTGCTGAGTCTGCAACTTTTTTTTCTTTATTGAAAAAAGTGGAGATTTTATAGTTTAATGAATAATAATGTAATTTATAACAGAAAATCATTACAAAACACTCTTGTCACTTTATACAAATTAGATATAACAGAAAAAAGTAGCACATAAATGAAAGGGATAGACTTATCTTGATGAGAATGCTCACAGAGGCATCAATCATTTTTCAGGGGACTTAAACCTCTAGTACCTGGTTGTCCAGAAAAAGACTTTCATGCCTCCCTGCTGTCACACGGTGACAACAGCTTTATTCTCAATAAATGGATTTTAAATTTAGTTTTATTATCCAATTAGATTACTGTATTATTATCTGAAAATCTAGATAAGATCTTGGTAAAGTTTTTGAGAATAAGGTCCTAGTTGCAAAATCTTTATAACTGAAAAACATACATGTTAATCCAGATAAACAAAAAATTCAAATAGGCTATTGTCAGTTAGGTTCAAAAGATCTTTTAATTTATTATAATTGCTCTGGAATTCAGAGATGTTATTTATAACAAAAATAACACAAATAAGATTTCTTTCAAATGAATAACTTCAACAAAATGAACAATTTTAGAGCTAGATATTTTGGTGGTAATAGTAACATTCAAAAAGTGTGTACCCTCTAAAATAGTGACAGTAATATACAATAATAACAATTGGATGTATAGGATTATTAATATACATGTATACAGAACAGAGCTAATATTTACAAACCTATTTTCATCATTACAATTTCATGAAATTTAATCATTAACCCTCCTTGTGCTTTTAGGATGAAAAAATAAGCATGAAATTTAAATACTAAATACTGTGCTGAAAAGCATTTATCTATAAACATTTGATCATTCCATAACATATCTTTCAGCATTTAATTAAAGCCTGAATGAAAAGAGAATCAGAAGGTTTGTATTTGCTGCATCAGGATTTAATTCATTTGGTGAACAGTTTGACGACAACTTTGGGGCTCATCCCAGAACAAATCACAAATGACTTTTTGACATATTTAATTACCACATAAATATATCCTGCCCCGAATTAAAGTTGGCCTACTCTTTGAATTCTTGGATGTCAAGATATCAATAAAAATCTGTACAAACAATTGCGTTAATCAAAATCTAGTCCGAAACAGTCTGAGTTAAAGTTGTAGAGTAGTGAACTCCTCCAAACAGAAGTACCATCAGGTGTTTCCCTTAACTAACAATATATATGTATCAGAATCAAAGATGCTCTAAAATGTGCACTGCCCTACACATAAAACAACATCAATGCATGTCATCACTAGTAATAATAGGACTGTGAACAAAACAAGTTATTGTATAAAATTCTTTTGCCTTGTTTGACAGTTACACATTGACATTGCATATTTTCTTTACATAAGATTATCAACAAATGAAGAAATGTATAATATGTGTACAATCCATTTTTTACACACGGAAATTCCATGTATTAATTTACACAGCTAAATTGCAAGCTTGCTCAAATTCAGCTGATGTATAATCGCTCATAAGCTTACAAAGATAGAATTTGCGATATGACCATTATAACTACATTTCATATCTAAGGCAATATTTCATTCAACATACTGGAATAGCGATTTATGGTGCAGTTTTAGTGTTAGGCTAATATGTTGTGTACAAGTGGTAAGAAATACCCAATTCATGATCTATTATAACCCCCATTATCGCCAAGTCCAATATGAATCAAAATCAAAGTACAATAACACTTTTGATAGCTTAATGAGCTATTTTACATCAGCTCAATCAAACAACCCTGCACATTATAAATAGAAGAAATATCACAAAATTATGAAGCCCAGGCTGCTAATTGGTTCATTTCGTCATCGTCATCAGCAACAGCTGCTTTCCTCTTCTCGACAGGTTCGGAAACAGGTACTGATGGGAGATCGGCCGAAGGTCCAGTGACATCTAATAACTGTTCTTCAATATCTTGCTGTTCAAGTTCTTCTAGTTCAGCCATTAGGTCATCGTCGTCAACATCTTGACCGAAACCAATAGGATTAGAAATGGCGTCTGATATTTCATTAGCAATTTCATTTTGTTCAGCAACTTCATCCATCAAATCGTGGACTTTATCGACATCCATATTATTGTGTGCTCCTTTCAAGGCCTTGGCTGCCGAACCCATAACTTTAAGGACTTCTGTGTTTGTACTAGCGTTTTCTAAAGCTTCTCTTTGATATTCTATAGTTGACAGTGTACCATCGATGTTTTGAAGCTGTTTCTCATACCGTTTCTTCCTCTTTAAAGCCTGAAGAGCTACTCGTTTGTTCTTAGTACCATGTTTTTTAGCAGTAGCCAATTCCTGATCTACTTTCTTTTCTAAAAAGTCTGATTTTTTTGTCAACATCTCCTCAATGTCCCTCAATCTTTGAATTCCTTCTTGAGGGGTAGGAGCTTGGTCCTTTTTCCCACTTCCAAACAACTTTTGTAACAGACTCATTGTTCCTGCTTGAGAGTACACCAATCTACACCAAAATAATTCCTAATATATTGATTTTACTTTGTTTTTAACGAAATATTTCACAAGATATCCTATCACTGACTCACTATCGCAAAACAGTGACACATTCGTTAACCTTCGTCTTCTTCAGAGTCCAGAAGAAGTTTTCTAATAAGTCTTGAATACAGGATAGTTCCCAATTAAAGTTTAATCGCACTGAATAAATAAAATTAAATGGATATAATTATTTTGTTCTAATCCAAATTTTATCAAAAAAGAAATTTACAATCGATTTTTAATGAAATCCACCCTTGTTGATAAAATTGTGTGACGCAGTTCCGAGATATTCGATTATCCAGTGAATTGTTTCTGCTACTTCCGTCTTTTAGACGTTCGGTATGCAAATAGTCCGGTATATTTTGATTAGGAAATTGCCTTTTTTTCAAGGTTATTCGTTTTACTTTTTTTTAAATAAAAAAACGAGTACCTGGTAAATAAAGTGTGAGTATGACGACCCCTTTCGATCCACCACTGGAGCAAAGGCCAGCACATATATTCTTGATTTTGAGCTCCAAAAAGTTTTATGAAGGATTGCATTGTGAATTATTTAGTTTCTTACTTGGCCAGAGCCTGATAATATTTAGTTTACGAAATATGATACAGAAAAATCCATTTGGATTCTAGGTTGAACTCGTCGTTATATTTGCCCGATATGCCCGAACGTACGACTTAACTACATTTAAATCTGTAAGGCATGGAATTTTGTGATCGTAGATATATCATCCAGCCCCATACAGCCACAGTCTATATAATTAGCCTACTCGTAGATCCAATATTTTTCTTTGTATATAAAGCACGTTTATCGAAAAAAGGTGATCAAAATCAAACGTTCTTGTTGCTGAATGATTTCCAAAGTTAGGTTAAGAACGCTCGGACTATTTAATAAGCCGATCACTCGAACAGGCGAGTACATTGGAACACCCGAGAATATAATTACCAGGAAGTTGACGTATCTTCGTTTTATTCGACATAAAGTAATGGGTTAACTAAAAGAGGAAGGACAACAAAATGTATTGTTTAAGGACTATTGATTGAGCTGATGATTTTTCTGGACTGAAGATGATCACTGTAGTACGATTACGTATTCCCGATTCTAGAAACAAGAAGTTAATGAGACTTTTGTCACCAGTCACAGGCTCATCACGTAGCCCGAAAATCTGACACTATCCAGTCACATCTCAGACGTGATGTCGTCACCTACTAGTGATCATCCTCAGATGTGATATACGGCTGTGATAGCATCACCTTCCCGAGATCCTCGTGATATACGGATGTGATATTGTCACTTACCAGTGATTCTCCCCAGACGTGATAAACTGACATGATATCATCACTTAGCGATCCTCCTCAGGCGTAATATGCGGATGTGATATGTGAGAGGGAGATGGGGAATGTTAAACATCTTCCATCATAAAATATGCAATTGCATATAACTTCTATGTATAAAAGGGCCACAGGGCTGAAAATTCTTCTACAAATATCAAAGCACAAAGCTCCAGGTTATAGCATTATTGGTGTTATATTTCAATATCGCTTTACCAAGTCATATACAAAAAACAGGGAATTATTTTAATACAAAAGATAATCGAATACAAACAATTGGAATGGTGATCTGCCTCTGAACACGATTTAGGGGAATATTTCCTGCTCGAAAAAACCTTCGTTAATACACGGGTAGAATACAAACTGAAAGTAAAATTAGAGATAAAATTATAAGCAAACCATAGCTCAAAACAATGGAGTACAATATTGATGGTATCCTCCCATCAGTCATACAGACCATTTGTCACGCACCTTGTTATTTCCAATTGTCATACAGATGCGTTATACCCAATGCCGATTACAGCTGTAGATATATCGTTTCCAGTGGCATTTCTGGAAGAAAGTAGTGATCCTGGAAAGGGTTAGGGGAAGTCGAACGGGAATTAGCTGGTTCATAGCACCATTTCAGAAATCAATGTTGAGAGATTTGAGTGGATCAGAGTGGAGGGTAGCCTTAATTTTGGAAATGTAGAATTTTCTCGAGTTTCTCAATTTAATTTAATAAAAACAAAAGTTTTAATTCTGTTTAAATTCACAGTGAACTCGCTTTGTATCTAAATCTTATAAAATAAACAGTAAAATAATCTCACCTCGTCAAATTCTCCTACAAGGGGAAGTAACCCATAACCTGATCCAATTTGTAAAGGACACTCTGATAATACGATATGTTCATACATTCCTAGTAAAATAGAAGTTTTCAAACACATGATCATATTTGTAACAGAAAGTATTGCTCATGCTAGTTCTATGTTCTACGTAATAGATGAACAGGTTTTGTGGATTAAGATAATGATGTCATTTGTAGTTTATCTTGCTACTCTTGATACTGTGTTGTAGATCTGACACACTATCTATCATTGCACACATATATAATGCTATCCGCCATCGGAGAGACCTGCGAAAAATCGCACAGTTTGTGGTGGTCCATCGTCAGATGTGCCGACTAGTAGGCTATGCGATTGATCCCAATCATATAAATTTGGTGACCTGTAAAGGTCAACCAATAGAACTCCGGTTAACAGCTCGCTACAAGAAGACTCCAAGGAGCTCGCTACAAGAAGGCTCCAAGGAGCTCACACTGCGGGACATCGCTAGCTCATTTCTGTTACACTGTAGCTTGACTGTTAACTTTACCGTCAATCGTTAACAAACCTATTGGCCATATCTAGCATCCATACGTACCCTTTTCCATAACATGAATAGGCTTATCACCAACTTTAAACTGAATCTTATTACCATCTTGTCCTATCTTGATCAACGTTTCTTTTCTTATATCCTAGAAAAAGTGACACCCGTTAGTTAAGTTCTATGGGATAAAAGCTGAGCAGCGAGACATTGCTCGTAGCTTTCATGCCTTTGTGGATATTATGATATTTTGATACAATGTCTCTTCCATAATTTTATATGGAAGCTGAAACTGTCCACCCGGCCACCCTTACGCATTTGCCAAGCAACGATGCGAAGCGATGAATTGACTACTATTAGCCGCCATACAAAATCTTCACCATGTTTTTCTAACATACTTACGACATTAGGGACACTAAGAACGACTTCTTCGCTCTTCATCTCATCGACAGTCAGAACCATTTTCAGAGTCATTGTCGACTCGAGTAAGCTGAGTTCGATTGACGGTCTCGACTCACCACACCCATTGCTCAAAATAGCTATAGACTTTTGTCGATTACCGTGCTTTCCAGTGTACTTGACCTTAAAGGCCATAGCGAAGTATGGTTGTAGTGTGTTCCGTTCAAAAACTGGTAAAGAAATGTAGCCATCGCCAGAAAATACTGCCTTGCTGTCGAAGATGGTGACATCTCCTCTAGTGAGATGTCCACACCGACTATGAGCATCATTAAATGTTACATCATAGTGAAAAAGGCACTGTTCTTTACATCCTGGAAAAGAATCAAATAAAGTAACATGTTCTCAACAAGCGACTCATGTAACCGTGCATTCCTACCCAGAAAATTGAAATGGTGCCAGGCAATCTGGTTTGTAGTTAGACACATTACTGTGGAAATAAAATCAAAATTAAATTGCCTCTAAAACAACAATGTTCCTCAAAATATCATTTTTTTTAGTTTCCAATCGTTATTCAATAATCAATATTAATTAATTGTAGAGCATACGTTTTGGTACACAAACATTTACTGCAGACGAGGCATTTAAACTCTAAAAGCTGATATAATGCCACACTGCAATTAAAATTGCTCAAAAAGCTTTAGCTCAATACAGTTTTGGTCCCAAACGATCTACCGTGAAAGTTTCGCGAGCATTTTGCAACGGATTCAGCTTTACGGAAAGTGCGTGCACGCAGTTCCAAAGCAGATCTTACCTTCCAATGAAGACACACATATTATAGATAAAACCACAAAAATCTGCAACATATTGCTACCAATTTCTATCGATTTACAAAGTCTTGGTTCGTATTCCTCAGTGTTATTATGACCAAACTAAAACTTAGGCAATGTTTGAAAGATATTTTCTTGGTCCACTGTGTCAATAAAAGAGAGTTTTTGTTGTTTCAAGACGTGCTTGTCTTATTTGAGGCTGATTACCTGCATTCGTTATGTTCGAATATTTTGTTGTACATGTTCTGTTTCAAGTCAACTTAATGCATAACAAATATTGCATGACTTCTAGGAATAGTCATCTAACGTTTCGCTACACTTTTCAGAATCTTATATAATAATATCTTTCATGCAATTTAATACACATGGATATTGTGAGACTAAGGAGAGACAATCCTCTAATTTTGCACTGTAACAACCAATTGTAGCACCGGGTTGATTTTAGCAATATTCATTCATATATTATAATTATAAATAAAAGACAAACCATGGTTTCAGAAACAAGTCGAAGATTATATCAACCCGTTATTAATCCGTTTACAGATTCGAGATTCGACATACGTAAACACGATAAGACAAAAATGCATGACTGAAATGGGATATACGTCAACTATATGTTTATTTTAACATTAGAACGTCAAATTCCATTTACTTTACTTTCATGACAGATGCAATGCACTGAGCAGAGAGCAGTGGCTCGAATGATTATTTGACTCATGTGATGCCTACCTCATCGATTTTGTCGCCGTGTGGACTCTCACGTATGAAGCTTTCTTTCCTTATTTTTTTCCGTTAAAAAAAATCAAGTTGTTAGGTACATGAAATAAATATGAGTGCATAACGCACGAAATTATTTTGTCTTAAAGTAAAAGCAGTGATCTATGTATCCGCTTTAAAAAAAAAAACACCTGATTAATCATTCAAAAAAATCATCGATCCTTAAAAGTGTTATTTTTAGAAATATCATCACGAACAGAAATATCTTTTTATAAGTGACAACTCCTACCCTCTACAAAAAAAGATAAACAAAAGAAAAAAGATGGGGCAATTAAGCTGAAGCTGAAAGGCTCCCTGCTTTTCCAGAGTGGTCGATGGGCTTTCAGGGTTAAGTGTTAAGTGAATATCAAAGAACATTCCTTTGGATTTCAATTTGCTTATTGGTTATAGAAGGAAACCCATGGTAACCCACATACTGCTTATATCTTATTTGAGGTTAGCTACATACTGCTGTGGCTTATCTGAGTTTACCTTCATGCATCTTATGACTTATCTGAGGTAACCTACAGGCTATACTGTTTATACCTTGTCTAAGGAAACATACTCAATGCTTATGGCTTATCTTGGGTAACCTACATACTGTGTATGATATATGTTAGGTAACCTACTGTTTATGACTTATCTTAGGTAACCTACTGTTTATGACTTATCTGAGGTAACCTACTGTTTATGACTTATCTTAGGTAACCTACTGTTTATGACTTATCTGAGGTAACCTACTGTTTATGACTTATCTGAGGTAACCTACATACTGCGTACAGCTTATCTTAGTTAATCTACATAATGCTTATGGCTTATCTTAGGTAACCTACAGACTATATACTGATAATGGCTTAGCTGAGGTAAGCTATATACTGATTATGGCTTATCGGAGGTACTACTAAGTTTCTGACATGTTTTTGTTTCGGGAAGTTGTTTTCATCTTGAACTATAAAGGTGTACGGAATAACGCATAGTATTGTAAACATTTATCTCAAACTTTCTAACAGAATGGTGTAAAGAAACACTATATCTTATAGTTTTTAAATTTATGAATATTCCTGAGAAAATTTAAAGGAGTGTGGATGACTCAACCTAGTTTATGATAAATGTGATAGGTTCTGTCATTGTCACCATAAAAACATGACAATATTGATAATTTCTTACTAACTTTAGTCTGGCTGATTGTCACTTGGTTGAATGTTTGTGATTGATGGAGTGGGGCGAGTATAGTTAGTGGTAAGATAGCACTCTGATATAAACCAGTGTCCTGGATAACTTCTCCAGTTTTTGAGTATATTTGTGATATAAGACTGTTTTGGATTACGAAATTACAAGGTAAAATGTATATCTTTTTCTGGGCTTTTCAGGACATTTGAGTATGATATATTTGGATTATCATATAGGAGTATACAGCAAGCCTTCCTGTATAGCATAGTATAGTATGGTATAGTATAGTATGGTATAGTATAGTATGGTATAGTATAGTATGGTATGGTATAGTATAGTATGGTATAGTATAGTATAGTACAAAAATGGATTGTAATTTGTAGAATGATATTAATAATAATTGCATTTCTAATAAAAGTTGATCTTGGCGACACTATTTCGAGTATCATATAAATTCAATAATATTCATAATCTGAATTTAGATTGTTTAAATAGATCTGATTGAAAAAAAAACCGTATCGTTCCCTTACAAAAACTGGGTGTAAAATGCCAAACCGTTTGTATTTCAGATGAAGATTGTGATCCTCTTGGCGTTTCTACTGACAACTGTTTCAGGACAGGTGACCCCAGTTCAAGACCCTGTTAACAGTAGGTTAATAATATAATCTTTAAACACTTGGAGATTCGTGGCACATAAAGCGAAGAAAATTGAGATGAGGCATTCGGATGCACTGTGCAGTTACGTCGGAGCAGATACTGACACAAAAGGTCGGCCACATCATGTTTATCAAAATAATCCTTTACTGAATCATCATCCACGCATATATATATATATATATATATGAACAACAATAAGTGATAACTGAAATATCTCCCATGCAACAAAACGCTAGTTATACACAAGAGTTCCTTATGCCCTTTCCAGTTATCAAATGGCCTTGTGAACACACACAATATATCTTCTTCAGGTTTTTGTCAAAGTAAAATAGCAGCAACTGGCGTAGATTACTACAGAATTCCCGGGTATTGTAATATATTTGTCCACTGTAACGAACAAACCAAACCGGAACTACAGACATGCGCTTCCGGTACATTCTTTGATGGTGCTGGATGCCATCATGCTTCTGCTGTAACCTGCTCGGATGGTAAGGGAATTTATTGATCCTTCTCTTATCTTAAGTGAAGAACAGATATTCAACGTTATCTTGAGCGACTATAAGATAACATAAGATTGAAATACTTGATTGATTAAGGTCTACCACCAAGTCATATATACCGAAGTTCCCCGACGTAAACCTTTTTCACTTCTAAAGTATTCTTATATTTAATTCATTCCAGATCCGTGTAAAATGTTACCAGAAGGCAAGCAGTTTTCAGATGGTGGAAATTGTTTTGGTTATTATGAGTGTCGAGGCAACAAGGCTTTCTATGAACATTGTCCTCAAGGGATGGCGTTCAATGTGACAGCCTGTTTCGTAGACCCAGCTTGTATTCATCCTGACACTATTTCTACTCCTGTCGATACTAGAGGTAGGTCATGATGGACACCCAATTGAGTTTTATACAGTACATTTTATTTTCTTGAACATCTCTTTATATAAATTGGATGGCAGCTCGAGGATGGAAAACCCTTTGTGCTGAACACCTCTTCAACCCATGGAATAATAATTAAAACTAGCTCTTTGAGACATGTCATCATATAATTTCACTTATAAAGAACAGCAACTCTTCTTGGTAACCAGAATGTCCTTGAGATCATTGTTCAGCTGAACTGAAGGCTCGTGATGGTCATCGCTACCATATTTACCATGGGGAAGCAGTGCACCCTTCCGGAACACCTGTTGATCTTCCATCGTCTCAATCAATAACATAAGACCAAGGCTGGTCAGTGGAGGTATCCACAGAAAAGAATCGAATCGAACCACGTGTCCCTTACTTTCTTTTTCAGCTAATCTAGCGGGATGCCTACCATCATAAAGGTTGTTACTTTTGCATCACATTGTGCATCATCTTGCTCTATGTTCCCTATTCTTTTTCAGTTAATCTTCCTGGATGCCCACCACATATTAAAGCCGATACTGTAGACGTTACTAAGTATTACATGATAGAAGGAACTGGAAATCCAGTCGGTAAATTCTGTGCAGCGGGTTTAGTTTTTAGTCCCACAGTTTGTGGCTGTGATTGGCCGGATCCCAGCTTGGTGACACCTTCTCAGGTCACACAACGTGTTGGTGAGTATACTATAATGCATACTGCACAACTCGAGAACGCTGGAGTGTTTAGTTGCTCTAGAACGTCCAAAATTGTGAGATATGTAACATGACGTCAGAGAATCCCAGAATCAGAATCTGACCAATCAGATGTTACAATCAGTTCCATATACATGTATATATCCTAGCAACTTTGTACGAGAAAAGTTGTTTATTACGAACCGTCTGACATAGATCATAGATTACCAGCCGATAAAGTTTCAGTTACACATGATAAATAATGAAAGTTCTGAGAAGATTTCGATTCTATTTTCCAGTCGGATGTAATTCAGTCTTCAGTTTCCCATTCACCAGCGACTTTCAGGAACTGTACAACCGAGTCTACCTCTTCAGCGACGGTGGTGTTTTCGTCAGGAATAACAAGGCCTACTTTGAAATACCTGGGGTCTTGGAAATTCCTTACATGTCGAATGTAGAGTTAGGATCAAACTTTGCTCTTGGATTTACATTCAAATACGGCGGTAAGTACTTTCTTTACAGTGCTTTCTTCCAAATGTATGTATCTTCCAAATCGTCCAGATTGGAAAATAAACCGTGGACCTGTGTGCTACGGGCAGGGCGCATTCAGTCATGAACATTGCATTAAATGTCGATATATAGGCTATGTTCATCTTTCTACTGTCAATAAGAGAAAGGTCGTTTGGGGAGTTGCCAGTGTATTCTGTTAATAAACCATTCCAGTTTTTACAGTGTGCATGTCTTTCGAGTACTTGTTATACGATTTCGGGCAACTGATCTCATTGCATTGAGCATAATTATATTATGAATCTTTTTTGTCATGGACATTTGATTTCAACCTCTTGAACAGATGGCATGAGAACGCCAGCATGGATAATTCGACAAATATCATTGCCTCTCATATCTCCCCATATGATCAAGGTTTTAATCGCGACGTCCCCATAAGACCTTCTTTACCTTAGATCATATAGACGAAGAAGGTCGCCATAGATCAATGCCTCTAAGGTTGTTGACCACCTCTCAATCTGTGCAATCTCGGCATTCGTCTTTTTGAAAGGATCTTTCAAATATCGTTGTAGGTAACAACGAAACTGACAACGTGACAATCCTGACTAATGAAGATACCAATTATCCAGCAACTTATAGTGTTCGGCTCCATCCTGTAGACGAGAAGGTTACAGTCCAGCTTGTCTTGATGGACGGCTCTACAGTCTCTCTTGCAGCTTTAAATGTCGTAAGTAGACATTCTTAATTCATTGAAATGTATTGAAACAACATTTCGGCATGTTACACTGTCAGCCAGGACGATAGTACTTTAGTTTCATTTTGTTGAATATCCGTATTATTCGCTTCACTTTTTTTGCTCTTAAAACACGGCTAAAAATGTAAATGTGATTTATGGCAGCAATCCGCATTTTAATTCAAGCTATTTTTTGATAAATGTGCAAATGTTACGAAAATATATACAAAACTGTCAAAAATGGTTTTCTACTAAATTGTGCTTATATAAATCTATCAAAAACACGTCAAAATTTTCAAAATATACCTCAATATATGTCTGACGTAAAGGACATCAATCAATTTAGGGCAAAAATATCAAACCATCGTCAGAGGCATAAAAAAACAATCAGAACCTGTCAAAAAAATGACGACAAAAACTGAACTGTCTATAGTTAAAGATGTCGATGGGTACATTTCCTAGTTTGACAATGTTTATTATGTGTTCAACAAACTACAAATAGATACAGATATATTATATACAAAGGGAATATCTTCCGTTTGTAGTATGACAATCTACGATCCTTTAATTCAAAAATACTAGTTAAAGCGCAGTTTTTTTTTGTGTTTTTTTATTTCCGGTTCGGATGGTTCATGTGCCTGGTTGGTTGGGATTTAAAGGAGCACTTTCACTATCCGTTCGACCAATCATACCTTAGTTTCAGAAACAGGAATTTTTTTTTGGCTTACATAATCAGTAATGTGCACAGCTCATCGTTGAAATTTGAGCCTTCAAATCCATGTGTATCCATAATTATTCATGTTTGAAAGTTAAAAATTCGACTCGAATTTTAGTGAGACTATGCCATATATAGAAAATACATATATAGGAATAGACAGTGAGGTATATTCGAAGGGATTATTATTGCGTTTTAGTGCTTCTTAATACTATTAAAGCACAATAAAGACCCAAATCAATCCCCATAAATGCCGACTGTTCCCCTTTAAAACCCACCGTATACCAATGAATTAACCATTTATTATAAGATATCTACGGGATTAACCACTCTTTCAATTTCATTTGATATTTTTTACTATTGATTTTATATTCTTGCAGGATCCATTCCTACAACACACATTCAGATTGGGAAAATCTGGTGATCTGATCAAATTACAGATCGATAATCAATCACCCATAACCAATACAGCCTGTAAGTAACATAACAGTTATTTCCTCTTTATATGTTTTCAAGGACTCTTCAACAACTCACTCTTTGGTGAAATGTTTTGGCAATTATATTTATCCGTGACCATTTACAGCTAGGGCATCTGTATCGACTTTATATAGTCCATAGAATATACCAAAAACAATATTAAGTATGTACACGAACGAGTTGCAATATATTGATAAATTCATTTGCAGAGTGGCACCAGGTGATTCGGAATACTAAGTCTGTCCTGTTTCGTTAAGCTATTATGTCGAAATTAAGCTCATGATGTCAGATTTGATTCTGTAATTATATTTTTAATTTCAGATGCTGGTTTGGCGGGTCAGCCTTCTCCTCTATCTGTTGGTTCAGGTGTAACTGGAGAACCATTTATAGGATACGTTGATGATGTAAGTGTATATAATTCTATCTATTTTTCATTTAATGTTGAATGTGGATCCGATTGGGGCTCTATCTCGCTTTATTGAAGACCGATTTTGTGATCTCGTCACTGTTCGGATAATACCATTGAATACCATGTCTAGCGTTATTAATATGCCTTCTCCATGATGTAGGTCGGGGAGAGTACATCTCGGTATATGCAGCGGCTGCATTGGTACATTCTTCTTCTTTACCCCTAATATCCAGGGCTTCTTACAAACGGGCTACCGTAAGGGTTACGATAGCGCTCTGCAACAGATTTACCTTTTACGGAAACTGCCGAGGATTGCCGAATTATGAACGATCACTGTTACGATCAATTTCTCGTTTTCTATTTCAGTTATCGTTGTTCAGATGTCAACCATCTTCTTTCTACTTTTAATTCCTTTTATCTTTCAATCTGATAATTTATTCCTAATACTGGCATAATATTTCCTTTTATCAACATATTTATACAGCAATATCAATCGCCCGATCGCACTTACGTTGATTAATGCTCAAAAGGGTATTAAAAGGGGGCTCATAAGATGTCGGAAACATTTACAGCTTTTATGGTAGATATCATTGATATTTGTAATAATAGTTTCGTAACCTGGTCGGACTGTAATGCTATAGAATATCAGACTAAATTCCATAAAGATATGTTAAATTCATGCTTTTAATTTGTATTTTGTAATTTGTAAATAAAGTCTTTGTTTGTATGTAGTTCGTTTTCACTGATTTTTTTGTAGCAATCGATATAAGTGAAGAGCTCAAATCGAGAAATGTACCGACAACTAGAAACCATGGATTACTGATTACGATAACTTATTTTGTTGACTCGATTTTTGCCATAAAGTAGAACATATGCATCTGAGGCACCTGATGCAACTGTGATTTTCCCATCGTTGCTGCACGGAGCTTAAAGGGACAGATTCGTCTTCCGTTTGACCAATCTTACCGTTGTCTCAGAAACGAGAATTTGTAAGTGAAGCTAACATCGTCGTAATATTAGCCTTCAAATTCATGTGTGTCCAGATTTCTGAAAAAAGACGACTTGTCTTTTATTGGGACTCTTGTCATACACAGAAAAAGAATTATGCGATTTTCGTACATTTCTAGTACTTCTGAAGACTACGTATATTCAAGATCACTAAATTTGTTCTCAGCAACTTGCTGTTAGTAGCAAGGTTGATCTGAGTTATGGCCAAAGACGGAAAACTGCAGTAGGTCCTTGGACTGTGGTCCTTACAGTAGATTGTACCTTAGTAACATTTATTTTCAACAGGACCACATACAGGTTTTAGGAGTAATATGATCAAAAAACCAATTTTAATTGAGATTTTAATATAAATAATCAGTATAACAATGAGATCCTGTCCAACAATAAATACAACATTAAAATATTCAGGTAAAAATAATAAAAGTAATATTAGTATCGTAACTTACGCCGGAATGTCTACGCTTTTATCAATTTTGAACATTTTGAAGAATGATATGGATAGAATAGCTGAAATTTGATGCTACCATCTTGTTAAGACAATATTCAGACATCTAAATGCCATGTAAATGCTCTTTATGGAGGCTACATAATATAAACTATCGGAGATTCGAATAAAGCATTTGAATTCAAATGTAATGCAGCTTCACTGGCATTCGAGTTTTGGATTTTATCTTAAATTTAACAATATCACAGAGAAACATTATCAAAATAAAATGGTAATGTTACTAAACATTAACCGCTCATGATACAGGTCTTTTTTGGCGGGAATATATAACGTCAAACGTATTTTATAAAGGGAAATTTCTAGTAAAATAACCAATAGTTCTGATAGAATATGAAGAAATCTATATATCAGCTATACAGAAAGACTGCCATCTTCAGTCAAATTATAACGAACTCCATCTCATACCCTGACATCGTCACGGAAGTTTGATCGGCTAGCGAAATAAGCCATGCAAATCCCTCGGTTACACGCGCAGTCATGTTGTTTTCATTCTTTCCACTGGGGGCTATAATTGCCTGAATTCCTTTACGTATAATCCATTCAAATCGCTGCATATATCCACTCACCTTATACATGACAAGTGCATAACCATGTCAAGGTATTTGACAAATCGCATTAAATGATATTGTGAAGATTAAAGGCTACCAGCACTGTCTTGTCATTCTAGAATATATATATACACATTAAATATATACATTACAAAATAGTAAATACACGATCACGATATAATTAATATTGCTGGTGAAGGTGATTACCCAATAACCACAGGTAATAAAAACTACTAAAAACTAAAAACATAAATATCTAGAATTACAAAAATGGCTTAAACGTTAATCAATTTGCAAATAAAAGGGGTGGGAATGTTGGTATTATGGTTTTATAATGGTCCCTTTTACTACTCTACATGAACTAGAATTATCAAAATCTCAATACAATTACCAATTAATAATAAATAATAGGCTAATTAAAAATAAATATCAGTTATATATATAAATACATGTGGACTACCCAAAAGAGATGTCGATCAGGCGATTATAAACAAAAGCTGTGAGACAGTATATTAAAATAAGGGTTTGCAAGGTCGGTGAGTCTGTCATAAAAAATGATACAACTATTCAACTGTTCGTTTTATGTCTGAGGAGCGCATAAGTTGTTAACAACTTGAGATAATTTTTAAAACAGATCCTCGACTCATCTCTCTATACCTTAAAAAAATCACAATATTGCTGGAACATATTATTGGACGCCATTTTGAAAATAATTTAAAGTCTTTCAGTCATTTCCACAAAACCCGTATTTGTATGTCCATCATTTTCTATTTTACCATTGCTAGTTGTCTCCCCTTCTGGCACATGCCCATTACATAACTGGGTAGATGACTGATAGCCATTGGCTAGATTTGAAAGATTGTTTCCAGATGGCGCTGTGTCCAGTTTGTTCAGATTTGCCTTGGAACTGATGACGTAAAGTTTCTTTTTCTGTTTAGGTTTATATTTGTACCTGAAAATGAACGAAAATGTATGTGAAAGGAATATCAACAGTACTCGGTCAACAACTTCGGCCGAGAAAGTGTCTCCCATGATAAAAACGAACCATTTGAATGCCATATAGGCCTACCTTAACATGCAATCCTACTTCGGATGGATATGAAATCAAGTAGTAGGCCTATTTTACCTGCTACTTTGCTGCTGCTAATGAAGATTAGCCATAATATAATAAGACCGATCGATTGGTAATGTCAAACATTTGCGTTTTCAATACTCCTCAGTAAGGCCGTGTACACCTATGTCGTATTGGAGGTCGAGGAAGCCATGTTGACAGATATACTCACCAATAACATTCTATAGCCAGGGTGATGAGAGCTAGAGCTGAACCAATCACAATGACCAGGAAAACACCGCCGATATTCTTTATACTGATTCCGTTACTCTCATCTTCAATATCAGGACAATCTCTTTTATCTTTCTTCCACCATTTTGTTTTATATTCTTCTAATTCTCGCTGATTGATCAACTGAAGAATTCTGCAAGTTCAAAACAAGAATTGGAATATGGGTCCTTTAACAGAAATGATGAGTGGTTTGATGTTAAAAATACCACATTTGGTTAGTCAAATTTCAATGGAAACGTTAATGTTTCTGATTCGCCGTAGGTATATTGTAAAATGAACAATAGTGAAGTATCTGATCTATCACCAACATAGTAAACCATTGAGAAAACGAGCAAAATATCGTTCATGATGAAAAGCTTTCAACCTAAAACAGTATACGATTGGATATATTTTTGACTTTGAGGAATGAAGATTACTTTCTATGGAATAATATTTTAGTATCACAATAATGCAATAACACATGCTGATAAAGGGAGGAGAGTAATATTAGAATGGAAGCACCACTTACATTGTAGACAACTGACTTCTTAAAGGCGATCCTTCTTGTACAGCCAGAGCATATGGTTTCCTAGAGAACTCCTCTCCAACTTCCCATAGGTCACAATTTGTTAGTTTAGCATATTTATTTACTGTGGCATCACCTGAAAGAAAGGGGCGATGTTCATCTTTAGTACGCTAGGGATTCTGGATAAGGTAAGGTAGAAATGACATGAGAGATGATGGTTGGAGGAACTCGAGCAAATGAAGCGAATACCCCCCCAGGAAAAGAAGCATTTTAGGTACTCGTGGATACAGTCTACTGACTGGCTCTTAGTTCTATTGAAAATGGTCATTCTCAAATCATCTGGGACGACGCGACAATTAATAAATGCACTCCTAATATGCACTCCTAATATTATATTTCAATTGGCGATCAATGAACATGTGTCTTACCAATATATGCAAACTCTCCGGTCAGAACTCTTTCTACAGCTTCGTCTTTATTAGAAGGGAATTCCGATTCTAACATGGTCTCCCATAGTTTGGTATATTTATCACTAACAGGATAGTCCCAGACAGCCAGTTTCGCTCGTTCTACAGCTCCTAGATTATCATCTAAACTCATGTTCTTCCAAATACTGGAATATATAAAATAAAAATATTAATGAAAAGGGCGTACCTGTTTCTGTAATGCAGAAAAAGCAATTCTTCTTCTCTTGATATACTAGTATATGTTGATCTGGAAGCCAACACACATTCGTACCTGGAGCCATGTTTTGTTATATGGTTATTTTAGCTGCCGTAAAATGGACGATTTTTTGCTTCAGACTCATCCTTTGTAGAAAATGTCATTTCTCAAACCACCAAACTAATTATGATATTAAAAGCTTAAGAAATATACATACCCATAAAATCTATGTTCAATTTCTTGCATTCTTTTGAAATAAATCAAAGCATTACTGCCATTCATTGGCGCATATTTAACCTTGAACTGTTTGGAAAGGTCATCCAAGGATTCAATAGGTGTTTCCAATCGAGAAACCGTCAGGAAAGCAGCCAAGTTAGCGGTGTAGGTGGCAATGATGATAAATCCAAACAACCACCATGTAGCAGCTACTAATCTACCAGACAGGGCTCGTGGTGTCTCTCCACCTCCTGTAAAAGATTAAATATGAGAATATGCGAAATAGATGCAAATGAAACGATGACCAAACTTAAGAAGGTCCTTTTCTTTTCCATTATGTATTATAAAACCACCCATGAGGGCCGTACATTACGTTAAGGCCTTCATCAAGTCTGTAAACGCAAAATACACCCTCACATTGGTCCAAATTAAGGATTTTGCAGCAAGCAATTCTTACCCTGGGGTGTCAAAGACATCATACAAAACCAAATTCCTTCCTTGAGGGTAAAGACTCTTGGTTCTGTGCCTTCGCCATTCCAGTCCACAGTGTTATTCTGGTAGCTGAACGGGCTTAACTTATCAAAGACGCAGATAAGAATGCTGAACAAGAAGAAAGCTCCAATGATGCAGAACCAGACATCTTCGTCCAACACTGTCAGGAACTTTCCAAGAGTATAATCAAATTCCGGCTTCTTCATCAAGATGGTCAAACCAACCAGATCGTAATAAGGTACCGTAAAATCAACCACATTTTCTCGTTCTGCCATTACGGATATCGGACCAACTGCGATATCTGCTTTCTGAAAACAGATGAAATGCATTAGAATCGGCTCTTTAAGTGATACAAATTGCAAGTATGTTGATGAAGAGAAATCAAGTCGCATGGTTCACAAGGGACTACATGTGCGTATTTTCTTAAGGGTGTTAAGACTTAGCTACAGATAGATTTCCAACAATAAAGAACTATGTTATTCAGAACGATCAGAAAAGACCAGGGTTCTTGTTGTGTAAGAACATGACCTTTTCCATCTTTGAAACCTTTGACATTTCAAGTTACCAACAAAAGCAAATCCCCATCGGTTCTCAAGGTAAATCTACATCACAGAAATCATTGATTTTTTCAAATTATTTTCTGGTTGAATTACCTTATCGATTAGTTCTTTAATTGCGCCATTCCAGTTACCATCGTCATCCATTGAGCCGTACATGCCGTCCGGACTATCATATAATATGTAGTCAAAGTCTAATAAGTAGGATATTCTCTTTAATAGCTCTATACAATAACCATCATACATATCATTGGTGTTGGTCGTATTACCACTGACTTTTTTATATACAAATGGCGGCATCTTGAAGCAAACAGAGAGAACAATGATGCAGTTGCAGACGTTGTAGGTGTTATTGGACCCGTTACGATGTGCTCAGGTCGACTTTGGGATCGAATTTTTCAATTCAACGACCGAGAACTTGATCAATCGCTACATTTATTCGACATAATAGCGACGCAGAATGAAAACTGCCATCAGTTGCCCAATATGTATGTTCGGATATTCATATATCAAGACAACATGAAAAGCTACTTTGATGATTTTCGAAAAGCTTTTGATTTAGTATAGCACCATGACTTTCTCGCCCATTTTGATTTTTTTTCTAATATTGACTTACGTTTGCTACAGTAACAACTCGGTATAATTTTTTCTTGTTGGATTTTGTTAGAGAAGTAATACCAGGTTTTAACACCAATCTTCTACCGTCCTCGCCAGCTTCAGTCCAATTACCAACCTAGAAAACAAAAGAGAATACTGTGTATCATTGTGTTATTAGATAGAAATGACCTAAATAGATTTAAAGGAGATGCAAGTTGATAGAAGGTGAAAGCCGACACCCGGCATATTCACGGAAACACTAGCCGTGGCATCAAATCGCCAAATCAAATCTTTGTGAATACGTTCATTCAAAACACCTGATAGATTCTTTTCAAAAAACTGGGTCGTATTAGAAGCCAGAAGACATGCCGGTCATGTACATACACAAGTTCTAAACTTTATTTTAAGGTATTTTGTTAACAGGAATCTGTTCATTTCTACTCTTACAAGTCTAAACATTGATCAATACTTCCACACACAATTTCACCATATATAGTCTAGGATTAATCCTACTAGACAATTAGTTTTCTTTTAATTAAGCTTTATAATTACTTATTAAATTTATATCCTGTTAACAGATGTAGCCATCCTTTAATTAATGTTACTTTACGACTCGCATGATTCGCTTCCAGTTTCATAAACAGAGAATAATGTATGAAACATTTCCATACATCACAGCGACTTTGACAGATGTAGGTCTCTTGAGAGTTAAAAAAAACTAGTCAAAGATACGCTTCGGGCTAACTGGATCTACTCTCTGGGTTGAGAGAAAAAAAGGTAGCATCAACGTCTTTCCTCTATCCTGCGAATACTGTTTCCGAGAACTAATTCAAAGTAAACGGACCCTCTCACCATAGCGATCACCAGATGCGTATGGTTGCCTTCAGCCTGTACGCATATGACTAAAGCAACGGTATATGCTACAATACAAAGTATCCACTTTTCAATATTCAGCGGCGAGGCTTCATTGGAAATGCAGCTATTTGTATCTTAGATCTGAATAGATAGAAAAGAAGACAAACCTCTCTATTATTGATGTTATTACCAGATTTAAAGGTTAATTGATTAATAAGCAAAGTAAATTTATATCTTGTAATATCATTTTCTTCCACCAATGGTCCATAAACACCTTCTAAACCAATCTAAAACACATATTATAATCAATGTCATTTAATTAGCTACAAATCGTATAAAGGATTTATAAGGTCATCATTCGTAGAAAAGAAAGGCTAATTCTATATTTCCTACGAGTTGGTGAATTAGACTTCTTCGAAACAACAAATACATTTTATGTGTCATTTTCTACAAGTTATGGCTTCCCAAAGCACAAAGTTACAAAACGAATATAAGATTTTCGTTTTCAACTTCTTCGAAATATCGGTGTCTTTTTCCGCAAGTTATGATCTGCAATCTCATTTTTTTCTGTAAGTTATTGAATATTCCAAGCACTACAATACTACATGGCTGTATAGAGTTTGATGGCATTTCACTTCAAATGACCTAATAAAATTTAAATGCTAATGTACTATTGGAAAGGCATATTGATGGTGTCTTGGAATTTTATCACGAAAACATAAACTTGGCATTTTGATAACAGGAACCACAAAATGTCATGAAAAATACTCATGCAGTGAATCTGTTAAAGGATATCAGCCCTAATTGAAAAAAACTTATCTTATCAAAGCAAGTTTTAAATATGCAATTCATCATCAGGACGGATGGAAATCTTAAGCTATGCATTGATTAAAAGAAATGAAAGAGAGTTTTACGTCCTACTTTGGTTTAGTAAAGATCAACAATGTCATGCAATGAGTGACGTGAAAAATGTTGTCTAGACAGCGGGATAAGTTTACTCTTTTTCCATTTGTAAGTGTCAAGGAATCTTTAACGTGAGGGCCATAAATATGTCATAAAAATTTATCAGGGCAGTGGCTTTGGCCTACTCATTATCGATTTTCAGGGATCTTAAATGCAAGGGCCTGTATCACACAGGGCCTCGGTTTATTATCCCAAATCCCCTATGCATTGATTTAAGTCACAGATCCCCTTCCATACAGTATGTTGTACCCGGGGCAAATCAAATGGTACTTACATTCTTTAAAGCTGTAACAAGTTGTTGACTCTGTTGTAGGTAGGTCTCATTAGTTGTGGTATTCAAACACTCATTATAAACTATCGGCTGGATATCAGTTACATTGGTTATCCCCCTTTTTATCATTCTCATCAGATCATATACCAAAGCTTCGTCAATCTGATGTATAGAATTCTTTTTTCAAATAACGGAACACAATTTCACGGTATTTTGAATAACGGAAGCCATTTAATGGCATATTGAAAAAATGAAAAAATATTATGAAAGGCTACATAGAATAACGGAACATAACAATTTTATATCAATCAAATAACACAATTCCATGATATATAAAATAACGGAACACAAGTTTCTGGTAAGTATATCAAATAACAGAACACAATTTCATGGTTTTTGTCATGGTTTGTCATCATCAGGTGATGTGTACCATAAAACATCTAGACGTAGTATGCCATAAATTGTGTTCTGTTATTTCATGTGATCTCCAACCCGAAAACTAAATTTGCTTATTGAACAAAATCGTATATACCTTGAAGGAATCCCGACCAAAGATTCCACCATTTAGAATATCCTGCATGAAATTATCATACTGTTTTTTAACAGAGTTCTGTGGAGACGCTGTTATCATGGTTACTCGTACTTCCATGTCACATTTCAAACAGGTTAGCTTGGAATCCTGAAATTAATTACAAGACTTTAATGTTTCGGATGAAAAATATTCAACAGAACCTTCGGAAAAAGTAGAAATTGGGGTTAAATAGTGAACTAACTGTGATAGTTTGGACTTTAAATCGTGAATGTGTAAAATAACAAAATACTGAAACGTAAGAACCGCAACTCTGAATTGAACACTGTCATAAACCAATAGCTCAGAAATCAGTACCGGAAATTCCATTAAAACGCCATACCATAATATTTGTATAGCAATATTTACCTTAGTTAGGAAAAACCAGTTGACATCAAACTCGTCACTAATAACATTTGCCTACAAGCATACAATATACAGATATAAATTAGATCTGATGTTTTTACTCAAGAGGCATTGAGTGATTAGGTGCAGGAGACCAAAACATCAGAAGGGCTTGAGGTGGGTTGGTGAGGCAGTGGCATTTTTATCAATCGTTGGATGGAGCAGGGGCCACAGTATTGTCAAAATGGAGCTGACAGCGCCAATGATAAAAATAAGTCTGCGATATCAGCTTCTGTAAGAAGCGGAAGTTAACTTTTCATCAAACGTTAACCAAACTTGAAGAATCTTTGAAACCCAACTTACAACTTCGAGAAAGTCTGGTGCTTTCCTACTGTTACCAATAATAAATATATTCTTAATTTCAATTCTTTTTAACATTTCAACTTGTCGTTTGGTTTCTGTAGGATCGCTGCTCATTCTGACATAGAGATGCTGGGCGGGAACATTGGTCAGTATCCTTCTTGGAGTATTCTGGATGTCTATAAATATAATATCGTATAAAGGCTGCTGAATAAAGGCTGCTGAAAAAATGTAGTATTGGACCTCTTCCTCTGTGTATTTGGTGTCCCTTGGATAACATGGAATGTCATTATACTGAATATCATCAATATCACAGAGGTCCCTTAAATTAGAATTGAAGTCACAAAATTGCATGATGTCACGTCACCTACAGAATACAAAGATTTTACACTCATATGGAATGAATGAAATCACAGTGTTGATACTGTTGCCACCTAGATTGCACTGAATCTATCTTTGGATGCCACCTTGTTTTGCTTAAGATCAATTAGATTGATATCATTTTGTACATCACTTAGATCGTATACTGGCCCCATACGTATACGTATCATCTGATCTAAAAAACAAATTCCAAATGATCATCAAATAATGTTATTTCATAGATTCTGTATGTTTATGATTACTATAGCAACAGAATTGCACATTATTGAAAAAATATTATTGATAATGTCCGGTAGTACAAAGATCGATCCATTAGATCTACTTATAGATATTATAAATACATAGGTACTGGTCTGAATTATAGGGTTTATAACAAAGAATGGGATAAAACATAACGAGTGTCGGGAGCCCTCGTAATATATAATCAGAGGATGGGTTTTACTGAAGGTTTACTAACCAGAGGTTTCACTGGAGGTTTACTAATCAGGGGGTAGATTTCACTGAAGGTTTACTAATCAGAGGATAGGTTTCACTGTGAACTTACCAAATGTTTCATCGTAGACGATAGCCACATTATTCAGATCATCAAAATTAACAATATCCGCCACTATCTGTAATATCTCTACGGCTGTGGGCTCGATTTGATAGTGGATGGTCGAGTCTCCAGATCCGTACCGGAAGTAGGACTTGTCCACTACGGAAATATAGGCTATACCCAGGGAACTTGCATAGGATCTGAGTAAAACTGCGCTGGAAGGTATGGACATATCAATTAGAGCCACTGCCCCCTTCTTCATCTCAGCACAAACTGAAAATACATAAAATTCTATGGAGTTGTTCGTCCTTATTCTATGAACATTATTTGATTAATGACGAGCTACGTGATGTACCATCGAGACAGGTGGTATAGTCCAGCCATGAGCTGTGAATTTTACTACGCATTCGCGTTAGTACCGTCTACGCATTTGACTAGGAGAGGTGGTGTCTCCTGTATTTGTTCCTTGATGCCTTGTTTAACATGGGTTTCTCATGGACGATATTGTGATGCCTTAGAAATGAAAGCTATTTTATGTCTGTCAGCTCTTGAGATCCTTACCATCCTCTATGCATATAATGACAAACTGTGTATATAGAGATTGATAAAAGCCATTTACCAAAACGAAAACAAATCATAAAGACTTGTAAACCGTAAATTAATCAAACGTGTTTTAAACGTGATACATAACAGCAGTATTTAAACAATGGGGGTTTATTTTTCAAACTCGTTTAGCATGACTAAATGGATTCCAGACGCAGGCAATTTCCTGTTTTATTAATCACGTATATTTATTATCATTCAGATTCAGTTGGTATAATTTGCTTTGTTAAAATGATATCATAGAACGTCGCAATGAATGAAGTAGGGCATTACGGTGATGCGGTAAAGTGCAATCAGAACAAGGAACAATAGTACAGAGTAGTGCCGAAGCGCGGGACATCATAGAGCTGTACAGTGAAGCACAAGACAACATGTGACGATATACCACGTCATACAGCAGTGCACAGACAGCACTAACAACAGAGTACAGCACACAGCTAAGCAGTACACAGCATAGAGCACAGCACAAAACAGCCAATTGCATCTATTGACTCGACTTAATTGACAGTGGGCTCTGAGACAATGGCGTTTATTAATCATTAATAGGGTCTTCCCCTATCTTTAATGAAATTTGAAATTGGGAGAACCAAATCCGGGCAAGCCTTAATGTTTTAGGGGAGAGGTTGTGATCTTAGAGAGATAGCAATACCATTTGAAATTTTGCAGTAGTACTTACCATTATCAAGTGTGACTAGAGAGTCGTTTTTGTCAGCTATGATGATCTTGAACTCTGTTTGAGCCAGATTGACTCCCTGGTCCACCAAACTATCACTATTAGATAGTATCTTCTCTATATTTTTATTATATTCTAAAATAGTGTTATCTATCACCACCACTGAAATGAAAAATGATTTGGTTAAAGGGATGCAGTCGTTTTGCTATGTCAGCTCTAAAACTTTAGAGCTCAATTTCAGCAGCTTTAATGACTAAAATCTAAGGTCTGGTTATTCTGCCATACAACAAAAACGTACATATACTTGAAGATTAAACTATCGTTACTTCCGGGTAAATAAAAGATCCCAACAGACTGTAATAATCGATGGCGTTATGATATGTCTTTGTTGACATATTTGAATCAATAAGCATAATTGGAATACACCAGCTTATAGAATTGAAATTGCAATGTATATATAATAATATAATGCAGTATAATATAAAAGAAAAGTAAGGGATAATAATTATTATCGTATGGCCCACATTAATAATCGATGATACATAAACAAACCCTGATCAATTTCCATTAATAGTGGAAAAGAGTAAATATTAACAATTGGAAATTTGGAAACCTTTCTTCGTATTTGAATAATAGCAATTAACACGCTTATACTTCTAGATCAAATATTAACTGTGTTTAAAACAATTTACTGATCATGGCCAAAGTATATAGAGTTGTTAAAACTTTTAGTTATGTCATTATCATTTTATTTTTCGTTTCAAGAGGAGTCGAAGCAGGGAGATTTGTGCTTAGAGAATGCTAGACGAACTTTGCCCTCCCCTTGCCCAATCAATTATATACAAACTTTATAAAAACATATTTTTCGTTTGGTATTGGTTGGGATGATTGTATGACTCAAAAAGGAAGTAAAAGTCTCGGTATTTTCGGTTCGTGTTTTCGAAAACGGAAGTATATTGACCCCTCCGCACTCTCCTTTTCGCATATATACCAGGCTTTACCAATCTGATTAATAGTTTGGCAACTCTCGCAAGCTTTCGGTAACTTCTGGCAATTTCCGTAAAGCTAACTTTTCAGACCGCAAGCGGATCTTTCGCTGGCCAATTGTTGATTCCCTTTACATGAGAAGGTGTAATCACTGTTTGCCAGTGGCCGGCAGGAGAAGGTTTCTATTGGTGGTGGTTGTTCACAGGGAGATAAAGTCAGGGCCTCACCCAAACCTTATTATAGATCATTGAAATGTCAGGACGATTTCCAAATGTTAATGAAATCTGATAAAGAAAAGATGCAGACATTTTCACTAATGAGTTAAATTATAGACAAAAAAAATTGTTATTTCAAAAGGATTATAACATAGGTTCCAGGGCATCGTTAAAACCATCTCCCCTATGTATAATAGTTTCGCCTAGTTTCAGACGTGTGGAAGAAACAATGCTTCCAGAGGATTCCTTTCTATAGTGGGTTTTTGGCTCTAGCTCAAATTTTAAAGCTTATCGCTATGCTTATTACACTTGAGCCTGGTTGGTTTTATGTATTTCTTTCATTATCATAAGCGAGAATGTTCGGAATTCCGTAACATCAGATGCCACTCTTACTCATAAAAAAGCTTTTTCCTGAAGACAACAATTAATATTACAATCAAAATTTGTCTCAATTGAACAGTTGCGACAAATGTAATCGTAAGATTAAGATACGGGTCCCAGATGTATGCTACATGTACATCCGATTCAAGGTACGTCATTTTATATTTACAAAAATAAAACAGTGCTTGATAGTCGAAAACTAGTTAAATCAGCTTCTTATTTCATTGAGGAAGTTAGAGTTCCGCAAATTATTAAATGGGCATCATCTTTTTGTCTTATTCTTTATCCATCAACACATCCACCATGGCTAGTCAGTAAGTTTCTTGCAAATACAAATTCAATGCCATCGATGAAATTTTTCAGTGAACTCATCCCCAACCCTTCGCCAACCTTATACCTATGGACCTGGATTTGGCAAGGGTTGATTTGAAATCCAAACTATCAAACCCACCAAATCGGAAGTAACACAAAATCTGTGATATTTGTAATTAATATGAAATTTGTTCAAACTGTATTTCAGAACATTGTATAACAAATTATTACTTTATTACGGACACATTCTTATAGAATTCTAATAACAGCGCAGTTAGAATAAATTGTTTACGAGTTGGTTTTGCTCCATTAGTCACAAGTACTTTCATTAACGTAAATCGGAACCGTTATATCGCATTTTTGTTATAGGTATCGTTCCATTGAACATGTTGCTATGTATCTGATGTAATTGTATCTTATATCAAATATCTTGTGTAGCCTAATGGGTTAAAATATAGAATATTATTTTTGTCTGATTTTAATGTTAGAGAATAACATAGCCTACACCCCACAACATATATTGGAGTAACATGTTGTGTTTCATGCTATTGGCATTTTACTTGTGACGGAATCATTGTCGTAGTTAGATCGTTGACGGAAAGGTCGAAGAAAATGAAAATTTGTCTTCCCAATTAGTACAAAGACTATAAATACAATCAGTCGCCAAGTTCATCTCCGATTTCTTGGATTACATTACATGATAATTCAAACTGGGGCAAATTTGTTTTTGAGTCAGTTTGAACATCTTGATTTCAGAGGCCAGTACGTTCTGGTTTCAGGTATTCCCATTCCATGATTTAAAGAATAATATATGAAATAGTGACTTACCTATTCTATGAGTTTGTGATCGTACATGTAATAAACAATTAAGGTAGGCGATCAACACCGTCATCAGCATTACGTACAAATTCATCTTAAATACCGGATTTCACTAAGGTTTACGTATCATAACAACAATATTGAACAATATAAAGATATACCACGATTCCGTCTTGAGTCTTTACAAAACGTTACCATCATGTGCTTCAGGTTCGAGATTCGGACATCTTCACGGTTCCATGACAAACAATACCACTGTTGATCAACACGGTATATTAGTTGAGTCTGTGTATGACAATATTTGTTATATCCAGGTATTATGATAACTCGCAGGTAATATACCTGAGCCTCGTGCTATATAGGTCTCCACTACCAGCAATCAATAACTAGGTACCATTAACGATATTTCTCTCTGTTATAGAATGTCAACTCAACTCGACCACGAGTTCTATCTCATTGTTAGAATTATTTATTTATAAAGTCATTTATGTACACTAATTAGATGACAGGTTTATTTTCCTAATACATGATTGGTGATTCCATCGTTTTTATTGGCTGGAATTTCTTTAGTTCTAATCCGAACAAGTTCCAGCCAATCGGCAAGTACTTGTTGAATTAAACAGTGCAGGTGCATTGATAGGTAACTGTGAAAAACAGATATAGCCCAGAAGAGTAAAGGCATAGAAAACTTTGCGCGGTTGAAGCTATATATTCACTACATGAAATTGTTCAGCAAACCACCCCGCTCGTTAGCGCCACCCCACCCCTTCTCTTATCAATAAATAGATTTGACCGTGGTTCACTTATCCATATAGTTGACTTTATCAAAATTATTTCGTACCAGGCAGTAAATTATAACCCACCAAAACGACCTTTTTGAGAGGGGCACGTTGCTAAGGGATATGTGAGAAGGTTTCCTTACAAAACAAAAGGTAAAAATGGCTACAAGCAAATGTTTTGATTGGCCGGTTTGAGATACACGTGATAACATGAATATTTATTATCTCGGTCCCTGATACGAAATTTAACTCCTAAATTCATCACAGCAGAAATATTTCATAGTTCGTACGTGTTGAAAAGGCGATGCGTATATTCTTGATAGGGTCTGACCACGGAGCTTTATTAGACTATTAAAGCTCCTTGGGTCTGACTTTATGTATTTGGGTTTCTGACAAGCTAAAATCTTACATCTAACAGTCGACGATCCAACTGTAGTTATTTCTTTGAAAAACGACGGCTAATTTACAAACTGCGAAACACGACACTATGAGTGACGCATACAATTAGTGAGAAAAATACTAATTAGGCCGTCTAATGATTGGAAGCTTATTAGTGATCATTAAATTATCTGATGTCTGAATTACGTGAATTTCTGTGATGTTTTGTAATCCCACGAGATGATAACAGGAAAGGTGAGATTGCTGTTTTCCACCTATTATATTGGCATGTCTGAACACCACCTGATGCTTTCTGCCTTTTAATGCTTTTGTTTGTAAGTGGAGTAAGTGTGTGTGTGTTGGGGAGGGGGGGGGGGGGGATCTTTTGTCTAGACATTGTGTTTTTTCGGTCTTTAAATGATATACATTATATAGATTACCCAATGCGTTTAGGTGCGCAAAAGGCAGATGTTCAATGTGCATCATAAAATGTTGAAAAAGTCTTCAACTTTCAAAGAGAATATCAGCGTATAATCATGAAAAATATGCCACTAGAGGCAGCAAATTATGCAAGATTCGGGATAATTAACTATGTGAATTCAGCCAATTATTTGTATCACAATTAGCTATTTCCACCTTGAATTATCTTTTTATAATGCCAATTTGCAAGATACTGAATTTGGTTTCATACCAATAAATAATGATAATAAGAAAGACCAAATCCATGTTTTACATTATCCAACGAACATTTACACCTTGTACGCGTAACTACTCGCGGCTTACTCTACTTCCGATGGCGCCTGACAAACATTTCACAAAACACAATCTTTCATAATTTCACGAATTTTCTTATATAATCAGAATGAAATGATCGGAAATTCAATGCAGAATGAAGAGAAAGTCGGCAGAGGTTTTGGTGAATCCGCCCATAAGCAGTGGCAGTGATGACGATGATTTTAAAGAGCTAGATATTCAAATAAAGAAAGCAAAACAGTTGATAAAATCGAACTCGAAGACAACTGAACTCTCCAAGTCCAAATCTGTGACTTTGAAGAATGGAACAAAGGCTAAAGCCAGAAATTCTAAGTCAAAGTCTTCTACAGGACCCAGAAGATCTGGCAGAACTAAAATAAAGTCTTCATCACAATTAGAAAGTGATCAACAAGTACTTGGTGAATCTCCTTGCCGCACTGATTGTAATGAAAGTACCTCCATTAATGACATTATTAACTCTAAGTCTAATCAAGCGACCATAAATTCTGAATTTGACTCTAAAGAAATTTTACCTTTAGACACAAATGATGAGCATGCTTTTGAAGAAGGAAAAGATCTTGCCACATCCAAAACCAGCAGTAGCAAAGCAGATAAACCCCAGGAGAATAAAAAGTCTCAGAAATCAATAAATAAACTTACAAAGAAGTCTAAAAAAGGACTGGCTCTCAAAAGTCCAAATATTATTTCCATATCAGATGAAAGTGATGATGAATTTAAGTCCACAAAAAAGCCCTTCAGTGGCCAAATCTATGAAATATTTAGCCCTAAAAAAAATTCCAAAACAGATTCTGAGCTTTTAGATTCCAAAGATAATGATTCTAAATACACTAATGGGTCATTATCTGATTCTCAACAATTAAAGTCCAAAGTTAATGGAAAGCAAGGAAAGAAAGTTAAGAGAACCCCTAAGAAGTCAAAGAAATCTGCAAATCAAGAGGAACAAGGTTGTAAAACTCCAGAGAAAGTTCCAAAAATAGTAGATGGGTTCTGTCCCTTTTGTCAGATGCCATTCTCTGCTTTGGGTATTCAATCACCAAATTGGCATTCAATGGAATGTATGGATCTACCTTTGATTGCCGATGAAGGTAATTACTTCTAAACATAATGAGTTTGACATGTATCACATTTTTTCTCCTCTCGTAAATTCTTGGAATATGATTTAGGAAAAGTGAAGTTAAAAAAAGCGTTTTCATGCAGAAATTATTATTCTATAATTTTCTATGCACACAATGTTTTAGATAGAGTTTGTTGTTAGTTAGTAAAAAGATCACTAAGTGAAGTTACTCACGGGCTACACAGTTGCACAATAAACTAAATCCATTTAAAGTTTTTCCTTTAATAATATTTCCCTCATTATTATATAAGGACTTATTTTTATTTTAGAGTGTGAAAATGGTGTTAAATGTGATTCAACCATACCAAGCCACTATAGACGATACAAACATACTGTTTTAGCCCAATACAGAGCCTCAAATACTGTTAGTTCTAAACGCTTTGATGATGAAATTAATTTAGAAACATCAGCACCCTCTTTCAAAAGTGAAGATCTTTCCAAAATAAATGGTGAATCAAATTTGACAAAATTAAAGAAGTCTGAGGAAGTTGAAAATGAAACTTTTGGAATATGGTCGTCACAATCAGAAAACCAAAGTAAAATCCTAACTGGTGAAATTGAAACGCCATTGATCAAAGCTAAAGATACAGTAGCTGATAAGAATTCAGATGATATATTATCCTGTGTGTCTGTAGATAGTGATTGTTTAAATTCAGTCAGTGAAGATAATTTTGACAGTTATGGTTGTGATACAGAATCAGATGAGGACATTTTTAACATCGCTACTCCAGAAACGCCAAATTATTTTTCTTGTAATACGGAAGTCGATAAAAATCAAAACTTGAAACCAGTTAAAAACATTGAAAATGATTCCAAATCTGGTGGATTTTTGACTAATGATGAAAGCTGTGAAAGTGCCAATGAGTTACCTCCCTTAAATACAACTGCCGTTATTGATCTCTCCAATGAAGAGTCAAACTCTAGAACCTCCACAAGTGCCTCTACCTCAACCAATCCAGGCATTACCAAGCAAACCTCACTTTTTAATTTTTTTCAATCAAATTTACAAAAACCTAAAGTTAGTGCCAATAAAATGACTTTTGTAGCTGAAGAGAAAGTTGTCACAAATAAAAGAAAATCATTGTCAGCTTTAAAGAAAATTAAATCAGACCCTTGGGGCTCTTTAAAGAGACCCACAAAATCTGTCTCTACAGCAGTTCAAGAGACAAAGTCTGAGAAGAATTCAAGTGATAGTGTTAACCAAACTGAAGCCATCTTGTCGTCTGAGACAGATAGTTACTCCAACAAAAATGGACGTCATAAATACACTTGTCCATTTTACAAAAAGATTCCTGGTAAGTAAACAAACAAACACTTTTATTTTAACATTTCTTGACAGGAATTTTATTAATACACATACTATGGTGAATGTTAGGCTGGGAATGATCATCCTCCTAGTAGGTCTAACATGGGTTCTAATCCTCTTTAAGGTTAGACAAATTCTGATGCCTGTGCCAGTGCCCCACTAATACCTTTCTGTGACAGTTAATAGATTTCTTTTGAGAGTTTCCATGGATTATAATGTGTAATTGTATGTCGATTGTGACAATTCATTAAGTTTTCTCTACTATGATTGAATATTTGTGTAGTCCAAAGAATACTCTCTGGACATCATTTTTTTTTTTAGATGACTGAAAATCATGAGATTCGTTTTAATCAAGGTTCCTGTTCTCTATTGTAGAAACTGGTTTTACAGTGGATGCATTCCGCTATGGTGAAATACCAGGTTGTACAGCCTATATACTGACTCATTTTCACTATGATCATTATTGTGGTTTAACTAAGAAATTTAAACAACCCATATACTGCAGTCAGGTAGTACATTTATATTACTCTCTATCTTACTCTCTATATTACTCTCTATCTTACTCTCTATCTTACTCTCTATCTTACTCTCTATATTACTCTCTATATTACTCTCTATCTTACTCTCTATCTTACTCTCTATCTATACATTGAGTTCAATGCAAACCTGATGTCCCTGGTTTGATCCAAGCGTAGATGCAGTTGATCCAAGGTCCCATCATAAAATATCCCTCCTAAGTTTAAAATAATAAAGAAAAGGTGGCTTATACAGCTGTCCTAGAAAAATTTCCTCAATACACACTGCACGATATTGACTGTCTTGATTGAACCAAAAGTAGGACATATAACTTATGTCTATCAATAAAGTTAAAGCAAGTGAAATTTCCCTAATAATGCAGCACATGGTATAGCCTATCTTCATTAACATAGTCAAGTAGAGAAAAGTAATAAGTAAAGCCTCCATCGATTTCATTTCATATCCATATTATTGGTCAGTCCATGGTAATAGCAATTGAAATTGGGTTTTTCTCATTCAGATAACTGGTAATTTGGTGGAATCTAAACTGAAAGTAGAGGTCCAGTATATAAATAGATTACCAATGAATAAACCATGTGCAGTGAATGGTGTAGAATTGATGTTAAGAGAAGCTAATCAGTAAGTCTAGAAAACAGTTCACTTTGTATGGAAATTTGATGCACTTAAGGGTATGATGCAGTGTATCTTTTTCGAAGCTCGAAAGCCAAGGGCCCCATTTCTCAAAAAGCACAGGGTTTTGTTACAAAGTGTAGGCTATAAATGGATTATAATAATTTTTGTTTTGCAGCTGTCCAGGGGCAGTGATTATATTTATGCGATTACCCAGTGGAAGACTAGTTCTACATACAGGAGATTTCCGAGCACATCCAACAATGGAGGACTATCCTGAATTAAAAAATAATAAAATCAATGATTTATATTTAGACACTACGTAAGTTTAGATGCCTTTAGATTTAATATGACAGTTTTGATTCAGTTTTAAAACCAGACAGAAGTGTACTCATTGATTGATAGAGGTCTGGGGTAGATAAAAATTAGTTTTGATTGAAGCCACAATAAAATATTGTTTAAATTTAAGAGACAAGATAGATTTAAGTATAAAAAAATTTTGTCTAGGAGTTTATCTGGGTGTGTATCTATTCTCAACTAGGAAATTTATTTTACTTTACTTTTTATGTTACTTTACCTGCTCTTAGAGGGACAGTAGCGCCATTTTGGGTTGATTTTAATCTTGAATATATGTAGAGAGTCTTCAGAAGCACTAGAAATGTACGAAAATCACATAATATCTTAAAAAATATTACGAATTAAGAATTATATATAAATATAAAGAATTTTACTCTCTTTTCCTATACCCAGTATATGTATTTTCTATATATCACAGAGTATCTTAAATTGACGAGGCATCATGTTAACATTCAATCGCGGATAATTCTGGACACACATGGATTTGAAGGCTCAAATTTCAACAGTGAGCTTTGAGCTATAACTGATTGTCTTAGCTAAAAAATTCCCGTTTCTGAGACTAAAGAATGATGGGTGGAAAAAAAATAGTCTACCTGTCCCTGTAAATTTAAATTTCAAATATATATTAAAATGACTTCTCCCCTTTTGGGTTTCCAATGTTTCATGTATAATATCTATGCTTAGATATGATAAAAAGATCTGATATTTTTCATATATAGGTACTGCAATCCAGACTATGCCTTCCCATTCCAACAAGATGTGATCAACTTTGCTATAAAGATAGCTGTAAAAACACTGGCTGATAATCCTAAAACTTGTATAGTCTGTGGTACTTATACTATTGGAAAAGAAAGAGTTTTTAAAGGTATGTAGAGCAGTGTGGTTAAGTTCCCTTCACAATATATCTAATGATCAATGGCATTTCTCAATGTTCAATTCCATTCTTCCTACAAATTCTTATTTTGTTTTTATTGCCTTGACTACCTTCAAATGAGTTCAATTGTGCCTGGTCCGATGAGCTTGTGTCTTTGCTTGACTACACTTTTTGGGTTTCTATTTCCTCAATCTAAGGGAGAAAACTCTGTTTACTGGTTTCTTATTGTTAGCATTCTTGCCAGAGTTTCCACATGTAGTAACAAAAGATGACCAAACTTTAGAAATGTTTTTTTTTTAAATTAGGTATGGTAAGTCAACCCTAAAACTCCTTCCCACTTGGATTGTGCTATGACCATGTTTAAATTTAAAATTGAAGGCATGTTTTTTTCAATATGTTTCAGCTGTAGCCTCTGCAATAAACAGTAAAGTCTGTGTTAAAAGAGATAAAAAGAGTATATTAGATTGTTTAGAAGATGAAGAATTAAATAAAATGGTTACATTAAATCCTGCTGAGGCCACTGTTCATGTTTTACCCATGAAATTACTTAATTTTAATGTAAGAATTTATTTTTATGAATTAAGAAGACATCCATATAAATCATCATATATGCATATCTGTATCATTTAATTGACATTATTTTGGTACACACAAAATATATTATCCCTTTGATTTCAGTGTAATCCTTCAATTAGAAGCACAAGTGTAGATAATAAGACAATTTAATCCATAAAATTGACTTACTTATTTATTTAATTTAAATGTAGATATATGTTAATTTGGTTGATCCAGGGTTCAAGTTCCGCTAGAAATGTAGGGAGGAGAGGGAGATTACAGGGGTAGACCATCTTGTTGCTAGTCAATGATCCTAGATGTTTCCCCAACAGAATGAAATGATTAAGTGTGTTATTATTCTATTTTTTCTTCTATTTCCAGAGTCTGAGTGAATATCTAGAGAAACACCCCCAGTTTACCAGTATATTGGTATTCGAACCTACTGGTTGGACTCACAGTAAAAAAACTATATCATTAGAACATGTACAACCTAAATACAGCAGGAATGCCATCACACATTATGGTAGGTATAAGGTCACTGGCTGCATATTCTCAAAATGATCTTAGCGCTAGGATGTCGAGGAGTCTTAACTTCCAACGCTGTGTCAATGATATCCTTGCACTAAGATCGTTTCGAGAATACATTGCCTGAAAGTTAGTCATGGGCCACAGTAAATAACACAAGGGTAAAAAATCTTCTGATCTTATGTATTTTCTATTACAGGCATACCATACAGTGAACACAGCAGTTTTCTAGAGTTAAAAAGATTTGTTCAGTTTTTAAAACCCACTCGTATAATACCCACTGTGAACAATGGTAACCCAGCTAGCAGACGTAAGATGGAGGATCTGTTTGCTGGTTGGTTGAAAGAAACTGAACAGGACACTCCCACAAAATCTAAACAGTCGTCTTTGAATCAATGGATGGGCTAGACTCACTAAGTCTTCTTGACGTTCTTGTTATGGGCATTTATTAGTTTACTGATAAACACAGGGAATTTATGTGGGCAAGCCCAGTGGTGTAAGATGGAATCAAGGGGCCTTCGACCTTTTGGTTCTCATCTCAAAAAGTACCTGTCATTTTTGTGTCTTCCACCACTGATAGTAATATGCTTTATTGCTATTTTTGTTGGCATTTTTTTGCTCCTTTACTTGCTATGGACATTTTGGGTTCCATTACTCAATACTTCTCACCAAAAGCATTTTTGGATTTATTACTTGCTATGAGCATTTTTGGGTTTATTAAAGTATCATTTGCTATCAGAATTTTTGTCTTCTTGATTTGGCATTTATTGAATTTATTTTATTGACAATGCATTTTCCTGTACATAATTAATAAATATTTCTCCACTTTGTATGTTTATTACAATTCAAACTTGGCATTTTGGATTTTTTTGTGTTCTGACAAAATAACTTTCAATATTATATTTGATAATTATATTGTATATTTTTCATATTTATAATATAACTTTTTAATCAAAATTAAGTGTAATACTTTACAGAAATGCATGGACCAGCTCCATAATCACTTTCAATGTTAAATTATGAAATATAACCTTCTAGTAAATAACAGCCATCTGCCTATACATGAAACGACTGACGAACTTATTCTTCCCCATCTAAATCTCCTTATTTTCCCCACAATCCGAAATAGGAATGCAAAAACAAAATGGGATGCCGAAAAATACCACGCAACACACGTACAGAATCATTAGTAGAATTTTCTGTAGTCTGATTCCTATATTCAAGATAACGTTAAAAGAAGTTATCTCCCTTTGACCATAATTTTCAAACGAGACACTGCACTCCTAGAGTCGTGTGCTGCAATGACATTCCTTCTCAAAATGAAGTGGGCCAGATCACAAGAGACCATTTCTTTGTTGCAGGTTGCACACTTACAAAAATTGGTTTCAATGGTACTGCTTTGTATTACGATCATTTGACAACACTGGTCTCTGCCCAATTCCTATCTTCACCTACCCATTTGTAGCACACATTACATTACCTTTGGTTCGATGTGTATATCGTGTAACTTGACAGTTCTATTAACCATTTCTTGCTTTATCATGTTTCAGGGGCATTTCCATCATTTTCGCTGGAACAATGGGGCAGGGGAATTTTGATCAACTGATCTTTATTAAAAGTGGGACAACACAAACATTAAACATTTACTCAACATTCTCTCACAGACTCAGATTCTAGAAAAACACACACTAGCTCACCAACAGCATTGTATGCCGTGAATTGTTTGAAAAGACTCATTTCTCTTTTGGGAGAATTTGGAGGGTTCTAAAGGAGAACCCAAGAGCAAAAAAAAAGATAGACCAAAAAAAAGGTAAAGAAGAAGGAAGAGTGATTGGTATTGCTGTACAGTAGTGATTGATGATGACAATGAAACAAAACAAAGACAAACACGAATATGAGGCACACTATCTCAGTCTAATTATAGTAACACAGTCACATGATGAATTGATGAATGGACGAATTACGACTATGAATTTATCGATATGTAGATTAATGAATTGTGTTCGTTAAAATCAGTCTAACACGACTTAAGTTTATGTTGACTAGGATATCAGTTCGCACTTTCCATGTTGCGTTCTTTTCGGCAAAAAATTCACAATCCCACAAAATAATCTAAAAAAAATGTCCATTCTTCATCAATATTTGGCAGTGTTGATGTCTTTAATGAGCATCTTCTGTGTTATGATGTGACTGACGGCACATTCTTTAACTCTAGGCTTTGATCTTCAGTGATGAAAGATGGATGAACGAATCACATTACCACTGGATGAAGTTCTAATTGCACTACTCTTACTATTGAACAAAGTTCTCTCTAAACACGGGTCATCTTCTTGGTATTAACCACAACGAGGAACTCTATCTCTGCATCTTTGTAAGTTCAGTTATTTCACAAAGTTCTAAACAAAATCACTTACAGATTTATCAGTGATTAAAATAATCTCTAAATATCTTAAAATCTAAATATATCTGATGGTCCATAAAAATATATTATCACAGGTGCCATTTGCTATTTGGATTTTCAACAAAAATTGAAACCAGTTCATTTTGGAAATTAAGAAGTGACATAGAAAAAAATTAGGTTTAGGATTATCAATGACAAAAAGGAGGGCTGCCTCGATACAATTAACATAAAATTTTCAAAATAATTTCATTTTTTGAAATTTAAAATCAACTTTTACCGAAAATTTTCTAAAATGTAAAGTCATTGAGTTTCTGACATCAAATTTAAATTCCAATTTTTGCATCAGAAATAAAACATCCAATTTGATGGGCAGCCCAATTTTTAAGAAGCATTAAAAGTTAATAAATGTATAGATTTGAGATTTCGATTCACTTAGGTCTGAAAGGCATTTTGATAAAGTTAAGCTTAACTAAGAGCGGACAGAATCGGTGCACAAAATTGTTCAAGAACAATTAACAAATCACAAATAATAGAAAATAAAACGTGCATAACAAATTAACAATAATGTGCATTAACTACTTAAGCTTAAACAATTAATTACAATTAGTAGTAAGTCAATTAACGAACATGATTAATTTAATTAAAATAATAAGACGAATAAATTAAATTCAAAAAGAAAATATTTATCAGACAATTCAATCTTTGGATTTTCTGATTAAAATTTAACCAAGTGACAGATAATTTCTGATCACAATTTTTGTGAAAGAAAACCATTTGAATGAAAAGATTTTTGGCATATACGAGAAAATGTTGAAAGATCAACAATTTACCTCAATTCATTTTAAAAGAAATCTCAAACAAAACATTTTGGATAAAGCTGCAAGTCATAGAGTGACAACTCTGCCATTTTTTATCAATTATAAATAAAAAATATGACAATCAAAAGTTTTTGAAAGAGTAAGAGTCTTGCTAACCTTTTGATTGCCTTTCAAAAAAAAATTTTTTTTTGGTATTTTGTGTTTTTTTAAAAAATAAATAATCATCTCAAAACTGACTTGCAGCAATATCAAATAATAAAATTCTTCAAAAGAGCACCACAAAGAAGAAAGTTGCTTCCAGGGTAGCTTTACACAAAAGAATTGATTAAAATTAGACTTAAAAAGAGAAAAAAATGAAATATCACATATCATGAACTGGCACTTTTGTATTAAATAGCAAAAACATTGGTTAAGATCTTATTTTAACTAAGCACCTTCTCCAATTATCCATTTCCTAAATATACAAACATATAAATACTATACAATAACCTAGAGTAGGAACACTATTTAATAGCACGTTATGTTCAAAACCCTGGCCGTGTGCACTATTTCAATGATAATGTTAAACAATTATGTACAATGATCACAAAAAAATAAAACTGTACAGCAATACCAATCTAATGAAACTCTAAACAGAGGCTAAAAAGGTCACAACCTTTTGAACTGTGACCTAAAAAATTTCCGAGAAGATGGCCGAATTATTAAAAAAAAAAGAAAGAAGAAAAAGAGATTACATGAAAATACAATGATGTCATATGACAAATATGGATTGAAAATGGACATGGTTTAAAAAATCAATGGATTTAGAAAATCCCTGTGTATCACATATTCATCAAATCACAAATACTGGCATATTCAATTCATACAAAAATAACATTGGAATGACATTCGATTTTGAGACGTAAATGTCCCTAAATTAAGAGCATTTCCATTTAGTTCATTAATTGTCTGTTTTCAATTAAGATGCCTCAACACTAACTTTCAATAACATTTTTAAATGACTGGACATGTCATCACACCTTGCTGGGCCAACACCTTCAAAAGTCATCCAATGCTGTGGAGGCTTGGGTAGAACCTTTGGTGATGGTGGATCATTGAATTTTGCACCAGCATATGCAGCCTCCATGAATCTTGTTGGGGATGTCGTTGGACTGATAGCTGCCGGGTAACATTTGATGTTGGATGGCTTCTTTTTCCCTTCTGGTCTTCCATGATGAACATAAACTGTCGTCTTGTTCTTTTCGCCTTTGGTCATCCATTCTGGAAGACTTACTGGCACATTTGTATGAATCAGGGGTGTCCTTCTGTCATTTTCTTTAGATCCAACATGTCTCTTAGGAATATGTTTTCCCTGAGTTCGCGTCGTTTTGCTGTCTTTCTGGGGCACGCCTGAGCTGCGTACGTTGGCCCTGATTTTGCCCCTTTCTTTCATTGTTGTAGGCATATTCTGTATTCTTGATAGAACCATTTAATTGGTCACAAAAATCAAGTTGTAAGAATAGTTGAATCGTCGTTGATGACAACTGAATTCAAAGTCAAAATTTTTTGGTACTTCTTTGTTTACCTCGATTTTCAATATGGCGTTCGTCCTTGGCAAATATCTTCCTTGTTCCACTTTCACAGGTTTTTGAAATTTACTGAATAAATTTCGAAAATTTAGGATCAAACTTATTTCACTCAAATCTACGCCAAATTTATGTGTTTTTTAACACAAGATCGATCGAATTTTGAATGTTTTTATGGCCTTACGCCTCTGTTAAATTTCTTCAACTACCGCTTAGTTTTCATCCTTCTTCTCCACCTCTCTTCTTGTCAATAAACCAACAGCCAATCAAACGAGCACCTGTTAGCACGTGACTAAATCAACCAATCGTTTGATCATTCTAAAAATAACTGGTCTCGTCATATGTTTATTTTGGGATTAACCCGTCATTAATGTTTTTCTTATCATAAAATCTTAATTAGGGTGCTAGAACAATTAACACACATTTCTAAAAATTGAAGCCATTGACCCCTTTTTATTTTTAATCACTGAATATTTTTGAAAATAAAAGAATAAACTAAAGTTGGGCAAAAGGTATTTCCATCGGATGTGACGTCATTGTAGGCGGGGAATCCTTTATTTGATTGCTACTCTACAACATGAAAAATTGAGTGTTGCTTTGGGGAAAGTAGAGACAGATTTTCACCGTTTATTCTGTCCCCCAATATCCAAAATTTATAAGATCGTAAGTACCACAGTTTATTCGACAATTATCAAAATTTGAAAGGTTTCTTTATTCACTTTATCGACTTTTTATTTGTGTTTCAATCGACCTATTTTCCCGGCCAACCAGGCTGAGTGACACAGACAGAACACAGCCATGCTTGTTCACCAGTTGTGTACTTTAGCCATCGGCCTCTAGGTTTGCACACTGAATTTCTGAGCCTGTGTTATGTGAGATGGTTGCTAGATGAATGGGTAAATTTTGATTTGGTTTTCAGGCTAAAATATAAATTGGTGTATGCATTATATTATGGATTTGGGCCTAGGTCTACTATTTGTATTATTGAAATAGGCCTATTATTTGTATCATTTTTCGTTCAAAGTATCTCAGACTCACAGAAAAAGGAGGAGAGTGTCCACATTTTGAGAACTCCTCACTGAATGAATACCTGATCTTTCTAAAAGTTTACATTCATAAAAAAGGAGTAAGCCAATGCCTTCATAGGAAGTAGAATTAGGACTAATGCATTGAGCATTAGTATTGTTAAAGTGTTGTATAGCAAAGAATTAGGTTTATGAGGCAATTTTATATTCTGAGTATTGAGAAGACTATTACATTTGTCCCTAGTGTCATGTTGAAATTCTCCATGTTTCTTGGATGACTGAGTGAAGAATGATTCACTTACAGAATCCAATATATATATATCGTGTGAAAGCCTTCATGTATATTGAAAATTTGGCTTTGCTGCAAGAATAATAAAAATCTAGACTAATGTATAAAATGAAATGAATGGAGTTTTATGTCCTACTCTTCTGTACCTACTGGGCTAATGAATACAGGTAACTCTGTGCAGTGTGCAATGAGGGAAATTTTGCCCGAACAGCAGCCATAGCCTATTCTTTTCAATTTCCAATTATCGAGGGATATTTATAGACTAATGCGCAGACTTCATTGGCAGTTTATCAGATATAAGAAAGGCAATCCTAGCCAATGTGAAGACATACAATCATGATATTGCCTAGTATGAAGGCCCATTGGTATTGTATGTCAAGGCAATATGGCTGGATTACTGAATTGATAAAGATTTTGGCAAAATACCAAGTCTCTACCTTATGTGTAATAGTGAAGATAGAAAGAAATATCAAATTTGCATTAGCTATGGGAACTCTCCAAAGGGATGTCAAGTTGGTCATTCAAATTTCAAAGTGATAATCTGTATTCATGTTTTTTTTTTATCAAAGTGATATTCCAATTTCAACTCACATAAGAATAATCAGAAAAACGGAATAAGGAATGAATAAGCTATATATATTATTAGCGTGTGTTTCATGCAAAACAGATACTGCTTACTCTTTTCGAAACACCTGATGGTACTCTTCTATTCTTTGTCCACTCCTATACAACTTTTACTTTCAATTGTTCCATGCTTGGGACGAGATTTTTGTTAATAGAATTGTTTGCTTGTGCAGACTTTTAATATAGTATTTTTGGTTGCTTTCAGAAAAACTCCATTGTGCCTGTAGAATGCCAGTTGCCTCCTCACCAACACCACAAGATGTCGCCCCGATAGTCCATTTACATCATTTATTACAACCGAAAGGACCAACTTGTATAAATTCTGGTGCCAGCAATATCTGCAGTGCCGATTCCACCACCTTCATGCCAGAACGTTCAGTCCCTCATATCTCTGGCAGATCACCGAGTCACTCTTTAGAGTCACCCAGTCATTTTATCAGCACACACAGTCCGCCATTACTTAATCTGAGCCCGAATTTAAACCAATCAGCTCAGCTTAGTCCTACCGATCAGCAAGGTCAAAGGTCATCACAGTTCTACGATTTACGAGAGTCAACACGAAGACAAAGCATTCAGGGTGAGTTGAATTTTATGTTTTCCTTATTCCTGGAATGAAATGAGTCTTTTTGTGGAAATAACAATGATGACTTATCCATTTAAAGTCATTATCCTGCTGCCATACATAGCTCTTTACAACATATTTTTGAAACCAACATCTTTTACAAGGATAACAACTTAGTTTCAACAGGATTCTGTCTACCGATCTATCTTCTATCTGAGGTCAAGGCAGAAACAGAATTTCACACCATTTGTTCAACATAAACAAGCAAATTGCTTCCTTTAAAGATTCAACACTCTAACCTACTGTGCTACAGCCCATCAACAAAATGTATTATGCGACTCTTGATGTTTTACATCTTTTTAACAACATTGATTTGCTTCAGTAAATCATATCTCAAGTCAATAAGAGTTGGATTGTATATCCTTTAGGGATACTGCTATATCTCAATATTGAATAGTTTATTTTTACCAATTAGCTTAGTCCTTACAAAAGTTTTTGGATTATCAAAGCTTGTTTCGAGTGGGTTTTTAGTAAAATTCTGGGAAAGCTAGTTGATATTAGTATAGTCCACTCAGTTTTTAGGGATTTTTGTCATGAAAATATTAACTACCAGATACAGGATGCAATATATGGGTTGAAACTAGGTAATAAATATGATATATATTATTATAAACCTACTTCTACTTGCTATATTAGGTGATGAATTGCTCTATTTATAATGTAGGATAGACAAGATACCTTCAAGCTATGTGTATGACAAGATAACCATGTTTGTGTCTTCTTTATAATTCATGATGTACTCTTAATGTAGGTTCAAAATTATCAACTGAAACCTAAAATAATTGTAGAGCTAAGATATCTACAATAGAAAATTATTTTCACTGTTAAGATAGTACGCAATGCATCAGTTTTCAGACAAGTGATCTATTTCAGTCTAAGCCCTATGAATCTGGCACTACCTGCTCCTGAAATAGGAATCCCTGACAGCTTTCTCGAGTTTTCCATGGACTTAGATTTCGTACATTGTTTTTCATAGTTTGATCATTATTGTCATTTCCGTAACTGTGAGCAACATTGACTTCCATTAACAGTTGTTTTTCTCAGCTTGTTAACTGTTCTATTTTAAAATCAGTTTTGAAGAATATATTTAGGTGCGATAAGACACCTGTTTGAGCAATAACCTTAGATTTTGTGAAATGAAAATATGAAATATGCTGACCAAAAAGGAAAAAATTGTGTAATTATTGTCACCATACTGATAATGAACAAAAGTGGATACTGATGGCTACTATGTGTAAATGTGACACGGTTAAAATATTTTCCAGAAAACCACGTTAACAATTGAAAAAACGGAATTGAAAAGCCCAATTTGTTGTGATTATGGTTTAAACAATATTTATTTCTACATGATATATAATACAAAAATAATACAATATAGTTGATCCATAGACAAGCATACAGCTTATATTAGTCCGTTTCAACTGTATCTATATTCAAAATGGTTTACATTTCAAATATAATAGAATTTATTATAGAAACCAGTAAAATAGTTCTTTTACGTTTCAAGAGATAAATGAAAAAAAGAACTGAGGCCAAAATATATTCATTGGTATAAAGAGTCGTCTGATTCTAAAAATAATAGACATGTTGTGATTATCTGCACAAAGTTTGGGTTTTAGTTGATAAGCAACTTTCAGAAGTAGAATTTGAAGATAAAATGGTATATTTGCCACTTTAAACTACAATTGATAAAAGCCCAGTAGGTGTATAGAGAGAATAGAAGAGGCCGAACTATTGATTATACACCAGGCTGGAGAATGTTAAAGTGCTGGTGTGGGGAATATTGACTGATTCCAGGCTCTCTTTCTTGATTTTCAAGTCTTGTAAATATTATGATTATTCAAGCCTTTTATCATCCAGCAATTTGGTTTTCCAGTCTTCTCTGGTTTGGTTTTCCAGTTTTCTTTATACATAAGTTTGAGAAGTTAAATTTTTATGTGCATTCTAAGAGGTAGTATCTCTTTAAGAACACATGAAAATATATAGTTCTATCATCACAACCTAGGCCTGTGATTTTATGTGAATTTATTTTCAAATCTCTTATACTAGTCTTTCATATTTCAATTTTCATTAGCCCATTAGTTGCAGAACAGTAGGACATATAACTCCATTCATTTCAAGAAGGTTCAAGAATTGTCTCTTTTGCACTTTGTCATATACGTTTATTATGCACATAAGCTTAATTCTCTCTGTTAGCTTCTTAAAACATTTCTAGATAATATGGCCCCTTCATGAAACTTATTTTTGAATGAAATATTTGACAGACATCAATATGATATTAATCTTTTTACTAGAAAATGGCTGAATTATTATCTAGGGATATTATGATAGTGTCATTTAAAATGTGACAGATTTTTCAGGAAATACAAAAAACTGGAGATAATCGGATAATAATTTGATCTTTATCAGGAAGTTTCCTGATTTGAGGATATCAGTCAGTAATTGACCTCATTAAAACAATAGAAAGTTTATTATAGTAGAAATATATGGGTATTAATCAGGAGTGTATGAGTTATTGCCCATTGTTAAGGGTATTTAAATTAAAGTCTTTGAGGGTATTGGCCTTTAGGGTAGGGATGTATTGAAACTCTAGTCTATAAGTGACTTATATGAGTATATAAATGACCAGTAGCTCTTAGGAGATTAAGAAAGTGTCAGACATATATACCGTATTAGAAATTAAGATTAATTAACTATCCTATAACTTTAAAGTTTTAATTGATATCCAAGTCCAGGTAATTAATGGTATATTAAAGGTGTAAATATAATTTGAGATATATAGCACACTGTGGTTCAATTAATTAGGTATTGAAGACATTGTTTTCACAACAGTTTGTATAAGGATTAAAACTTATTCACAGTTTCTCAATCAGCACATGTTGAAGCACATGTTCAACCACATGGTCTATTTTTGCATTGCATGACTATTTTGTTGCACTTGTAGAATTTTTGTTCTTCACACTGATTGACAGGTACAAATGACAGTGACACAACACGAAAAATCATGCCTGCTTAAATTCTATTTTTGTCAAGTCCAATGTCATGTCTTCTGAAAATATATATCTTACTTATGAGTGTTGTTCATTAAGAACTGAGAATCTGTAGAGTTTAGTTCAAGGTTGCAGTTATCTGACAATATATTATAATTTATAGATTTCTGAAACCAAAATGGAGCTTCTTAGAACATTGAAGTGAAGGTCCAACCTTGTTTCTCCTTGTTCGTTAGGTTATTATGACTTCTGATAATGTAAAAATGATGATAATATTGATAATAAACTCTTTATTTTTCATGGGTCATAATTATCTCTAATATACAAGGACATGATGTCCTATCTAACATTCAACCCATATTATATTGTCAAAGAATGGTGAAAAATTAGCTAACTCCTTGTATTGTACAGTCTATGCATGTAAACCATGAAGTTTATTATTACAGAAGTCTTTTATTGCATATAGAATGGCATGGTTGATTGAAACAATATCTATTGATGCATGAAATTAACATATCAATTACAAAATCTATACATAATATGGTTTCAGAAAAAAGAACAAAGCTTATGTAAATACATCGCCATGGTTGCCTTTAATACTAGTGCTGGGTATCACCAATCAAACAATACAACAGTCACGATATGATACCCATCACGATACAACAGTCTCAATACAACAGTCACGATACAACAGTCACGATACAATACGTATTACGATAAGGGGTAACAAGGGGTAGAAATGAACTTTGTAACTGTGATATTTGGTAATGTAGTTATTAGGTGTGATTAACATTCTTATGAATAGTTTCCAACAATTTCAGTCAAGTCATTGAAAGAAATGAGAGGTCAAGTATTGATACACAACATTGTGGTATGATACATGTATTGTGTCATGTTGTATCAGTATACAGCGATTCCATGATGTCAGCACTATTCAATACCATTGGAATATAAAGATCCAGTTCTTCTTAAACTTGATATATATATATATATATTGATATATATATATATATATATTAAATCAAGACAAATTCAATATAACTGTCAACAAGCAGTATGAGTGTATAAATCGTTATCAGAACAGCTGCATTATTTCTGTACTGCAAATCTCCTGTCACAAATTCAACAGTGTAGGGAAATGAAAAGTGATTCTGAGATGCTGAGCCTTTTTCAGACCAGTACATTGACTTACACATTGCAAAAGTTGAATGCAGATCAGTGAGGGGGGTAAGCTAACATGTCTAGCCTCATGGATAGGGCAATGAAGTTAAGCCCATGTTCTACAGACTGTGCATGTTATCCCTGAAGAGTCCGAAATCCTAAAAGAAGAGTATACTAATTGCTGCTGTCCTTGCAATAAATTTGGGCACTGTGGTGCTTTCCGTCCTCATTAACCTTAGTAAGTGAAGAAATGTAGGACATTCAACTCTATTTCAGTCATATTAATAGTTGCAAAACATTGATATTTGTATGTCAGTGACCCCAACTAGACTAATTAAACCCCTACCCTAAAAATCTAGTGTCATGATTTACGTCAGTAGAGTTCATCCATCGCAGCAAATTTTGGACGGACATTGATCCTTGAAAATGTCAGTGCTAGTAAGTAAATTGCGTCATGGCTCACGCCGGAAACCATTCAAATGACGTCAGAATTCTATCTCAAGTTGTTTACAACTCCTCCATACTAAAATAGCTCCTTAGGGTGTAAATTATCCAGCGTGACCCCAAGCATGTATCCTAATCACACAATGAACTTCAGTCATCTGGCTTACGTTTCGGTATTTTAATGATTTCCTATGAATTAACTGACTGTGTAAGTCTGGCGGCATTTTCATCATTAAAATTCTTCAGTTACATTCTGTTAGATTTGAATACCATGATCTGTTGGTTTTGGTTGTAAGAGATACTACTTTATAGAGGCATTGGTTGAGATCTCAAAAAACATAGGATAGCTAGTGACGGACA